TGGACTGACACGCTTGGAGTGTCAGCTCATGTCAGAGACAGAGATAGAGAGAAGAGAGAGAGAGGAGAGGAGAGAGGAGATGAGAGAAGAGAGGGGAGAGGGGGAGAGAGAGAGAGATAAGAGAAGAGAAGAGAGAGAGAGAGAGATGAGAAAGAGAAGAGAGAGGAGAGAGAGAGAGAGAGAGAGAGAGAGAGAGAGAGAGAGAGGAGCGAGAGAGAGAGAGAGAGAGAGAGAGAGGAGAGAGAGAGAGAGAGAGAGAGAGAGAGAGAGAGCGAGAGAGAGAGAGAGAGAAGAGAGAGAGAGAGAGAGAGAGAGAGAGAGAGAGAGAGAGAGAGAGAGAGAGAGAAGAGAGAGAGAGAGAGAGAGAGAGAGAAGAGAGAGAGAAGAGAGAGAGGAGAGAGAGAGAGAGAGAGAGAGGAGAGATACAGGAAGTTTGCAGCACGTTAGAAAGCCCGCGCCGGCTTCACCCTCTGAGTTCATTGGGGTCTTTCTCAAAGGATTAGCCGGCCGGCGTGTTACGAGCATGACTCTAAATGATTGGGCTCCCGAGTCACATCGGCTGAAAAGGGTAACCAGCCGGTGAAAGACGGTTCGACCTATTTGTTGCCTTAATCGGTCCTGCACCAGTGAGCAGGCCACCATTAGTCGGTCCGTTGATGTGTGAAAAGGTAACAGGAGCGTGCAGAGAGCTGAGCTCGCAGAGCTAAACAGGTGGATGGGCCTCCAGCAGGGCCAGACCACCTATCAGCGATGCACAGCGTTTGCACTTCTATGCAATGGCAGTTCACGAAGAGGCGAATTGGTTGTTCAGCACCATTTCCCAGTAAGCCTAAAATGATTTAGCACTACGTTTATGTGAGACAACGTCAGTGCTATTCATAAGACAGACTTCTGACAATGTCCGCTGAGTAATACTCATAGTAGCTCAACCTATTCAAAGTTTGTTTGTGATTCTCCTCCCATGCGATGAGGCGAGCTGTGCGACTAGGATTCGTGATCGACAATTGCAAAAACCAACAGCGCTAAATATTAACAACTAACTAGCTCAAATCCAGGTGGCTAGAGCGAGTATCGGAGGGGGGGGGGAGGGGTGTGTGTACCACCGCGACCCGTGCAGCAAAGGCATGGAGTCGGATGTCGCTCAATCCCTTATGCATTGAACTCCCAATCGTAAGCTATCTTACACCTATAATGCCCCTTCGGTCCTCGTGAGCTTTATCCACATCCTTGAAGCCGAATGTATCTAGTGACTACACTGACAAGGACAAGCGCAAGTCAGGCGACGAACTGCTCACGTTCATGTTGTTCGCTGCTTCGTGTCGCATCCATCGCATCCATCATCCATCCATCGCATCCACCGGTCAATTTTACTGTAGGGGTTCACGGTGGAGGGTCCACAATTTAGTCCACTCCGACCCCGACTCTACCTGTGATGGCAGCGGTCTGGCGACGGCCAGGCCCGGACCAATGGTAGTAGATGGCTTAGTAGACCTTAGTAGAGGTAGACTCCGCCACCCCACCCGCCCCCCAGCGGCACCAGGGAGACCCGGCGGCGAGCCAGGCTGAGGGCCGGCCACTGCAGCGGCGCGCGCCGCCGCAGCTCCCCCCACCCGCCCCCCAGCTGCGCCAGGGAGACCCGGCGGCGAGCCAGGCTGAGGGCCGGCCACTGCAGCGATGCGCGCCGCCGCAGCCGCTGGACGGGGGCGTGATGGCCGAGTGGTTAGTGCATCGAACTCTCACACGGGGAGCCCGTGCGAGTCCCGGTTGTGCCTTGGCCCCTGAGCGCTGATATGGCCAATGCAGCCGCTGGCGCTCCACGACAGGCGTGACAGCGTGCGTCACATTCTCTTTAAAAGATCAGAAAAAACAGCTGCTGTACGGGGCGCGCGGCCCACGTCTGGCGGGGTCTCCGCGAGCGTCGCTGATGTAGCTGGCGGGCAGATGGGACGATGGAAGTCGGCCGTCGGCAGCCACCCGTCCGCGCCGGGCTGGCATGCTGGCATCACGATTCCATCGGGGCCGTGTGAACACGACGGACGGTGTCCTTCGATCAGCCGGCAAGTCCAGGCGTGCCGAGTGCTCTGCAGACGAGAGCCGGCTCTCACGGACTGGCTGGAAATACCGGCGCTTGTTGCCGGCTGAATTAGTCAGTTTCTACCTCACCTCCTCCCAGAGGACAGTTTTAACGAGGCTTCGAGTAAAAAGCAGGCAACGATGTCGCCCCATGCCGATGTGCCGAGACTTGTGGCCTGGTGTAATACGCGTTGCCTTCTGTTGCCGAATCGCACGCGATTGAAGAGGAAGGCAGACAGGACGGCTCTTAGATATTGTGCCGTTAATTTGCACACTGCATTACTGTATCCTCCTTCACGTGGCTAAGTCAGGACGCCTGGCTTGACGCGGTCTGCACCCCCCGTGCCATTGCAACGTCATGTTACGCCTCGGATGGGAGACTGGAACGCCGGGGTGCCGTATAACACTAACCCGACCGCCAGACCCGAACTAACCAGCCCCAACCGTGCATACCAGCAACCGTGCATAATACGTACATAACCAGCAACCGTGCGTCAGCTCCCTGACGCGGCGGGTGCGGGCTCTCAGGAACGCGTGCGCTCCGGCCGGCTGCAGCAGACGGGTCTTCAGAGGGTGGCGAACAGGGAGAGAGTGCTCACTGGCATGTGCACCTGAAATTTTGCGCGCACCGGATGAGCTTGTTCAACCCCATTTGGCAGTGCTCAAATAAAATGAGAGACCTTGCGGGATGCTCTGTCAGACACTTTACGTGAAAACTCACGAGCGTCATTAAGTCATTAAGCCAATGCGGGGCTCTCCATTGCTCGCGCACGAGCGACTGCAGTAGACAGCACTTCGGTGACTGGTGCCCGGCGCGATGCATACACCGCCAAGACGTGATACGGAAGATGAAAAGGCGGCGGGCATAGAGCTCTCTGGCAGGCACGGACGAGCCGGGAGTGCTTTCCATGAAACCTTTTGCATGGGTGTAGGATTAATGTGTCCATCAGAGCGAACAGTGGTTGTTTTGTCGCAAGGTGAAACCTGGCGGTTATTACCTGAATACGTATTTATGTGCTCCAATATGCACGAGGCGCGGGAACGCTCACACGTCTCTAATCTGCACAGCTGATCACAAATGACGAAGAGGCGATAAATGTGTGTGAAAGGTACGCTGATGGTCGACAGTAGTGGCCGGGAGTAATCACTGTCAGGGAGGTGATCTGGTCCAGAGCCCATCGGCGTTTTAAGTGATTGAGTCCCGTCTGGGTGATTCTTACGCATGGATTGTCATCAAAGCGGACTAAACCCTTAGAGTAACCCAGCATCTGTGGTGGCGCGCGAGTGACAGCAGATGATGCATTTGCAGACCTGAAATATAAACCTGCCTTAGCACTCTCAACCTTATCCGCACAGGTCGTAGTCGTGATGCCTTCCCCTTACTGGCCTAAAATCAACTTGTGTTGTCTGATGTGACATAATTGCTTTTTTCTTTGGTACTGTTTTTTCGGCATTGAGCTCAAAGTTCTTACGTTGAGTTATCGACCCAATATACCAGGAGGTGCCAGTTAAACGACCTTGTAGTGTTAAACAGCATGCTGAATTGCCAGCAAATCATGAACGCATATGGTCCAAACAAGGTTATCGGCATCAGAAATGCGTGTATTATATATATATATATATATATATATATATATATATATATATATATATACAAAACGCTGGCATGAATATCACATAAACCTCAATTTATAAAACCAAAGCGTCACTTCAGTGTGGTCAAGGAAGTCGTGTTGTTTTTGGTGTAATTAGGTTAAAGTGTATGTATTTTCGGTCGCTCAGTGATAATAATGACGTAATCACTAATCGCTCGCGATGCGAGTATTTCGATTAGGCTGAAGCCGGCACTAGCAGCGCCATGAACGACTGTCACCACCACGCGATGGCTATGAGCTCATGTCCGACCTGTAATGTGCATTTTTATTCTTGCTTTGCAGCAGTTACTATTGCGTGATTACAATAAATCAATCAAATTACCTTGAATTCACGTTGACGACAGATAACCATCGATTCTCATCACGAACAAAGCCAAATTGCATTCTCGGCATGGAAGGCTGGGACGCTTAAAGTCGTGGGGTTTTCCAAGGGGCGCAGCACGTGTTCCCCGCACGGGTACTCTCCGCTGCCCAGCTGGCGGTGACGCCGTGTGTGCGGGGTTGCGTTCTTTCCCCCACAAACCCAACCCCCCCCTCCCCCCCCCTCCCCCCCCCCCCCCCCCCCCTCCCCCCCCCCCCCCCTGTTACTCCCCGCTGCCGTCTGTGGCCGCCACCGCCGGGCTCCCGGCCGCCGCAGTGGTAACAGCCGACCGTCCCCGGTCTGCTCTGCTGCGGGCGCGGTGGGGTCAGCTGGGCCCGAGCCGAGTCGGTGTCGCTGGTCAGTCAGTCCTGACCAGGGCGTCAGTGGCGCTTCTCCCCCGTGGCCGGCCCGCCGCGGACCCGGTCACACGGACCAGGCTGTTGGAGACGCCGCTGCCGGAAGCTGCTGCTGCTGCGGTGAAGACAGTTAATCGTGAATAACGCCGCGGCACTGCTGCCGTGCTTTCTTCCTGCGCTTTTGATCCTGTTGCGGCACAACAGGCCATTGGGCTGCTGATGTTATCGAAAAGTCGTACGTTATTTTGTTCTTGTTTTGCTTATCTAAGCAGGCCGAGAGGGGTCTCTCTCTTTTCACTGGCACAGACGGCATTCACGGATGGGCACGGACTCATTCACCCACTCTCACATATATCCGTACCACATATACATAATTGCGTCTTAACTGAGCACCGGTATGGCTTTCTAGTTGTAAGAGAGGTCACAGCCAGCAGCAGACACCAGGCAGAATTAGACTGATACAATTTGCAGGGGGGAAACCTTCAAATGTGACCTGCTTCATCTCAGGCACACGCCATCTTCCTCCGCCCCTTAGCCTGAGCAACAGCACGTCTTCTGTGCATTTCCGCCCCGTAGCTACACGGGAGAAATGGACATGTGGCCCTGCCATCTGCTTGGGTCTTCAGCCTTTGTTGACACCAGTCAAAATACTCAGACACCCGGTAAATCAATTGCTGGGGCATTGAACTGCAGTGGCCAAGAGCATTGTGGTGCGCGGTGTCGTGCGCAGTAAGGGGAGCAAAAATATCAACGCGGTTGCTTGATGTGATGAGAGAGATGTGAGATGATGTATAATCACAACTTACCTCGATTATTCGCTTCCAATAGCTACTCACTATGCCTTCTGAGCCATTACAGTTATACAAAAAGGGTGACCAGCAAGTATGCATTTTCTTATCTAAAACGGCATCAGTGCATCTCTTGGTTATTGCCATCCCACTCAGCGATGAAGCAAGGACGAGGTTGGCAGTGGAGAGAAAGACTTTGGGTGTGTGGGCGCCAATTTCAGTAACAATATGCATTGAATCAGAAATGCAAGGATTTGTTTATGCCTTATGTTTGGAGTTGCATGCTGCTTTAATGTTGACTAAGACCTCATCAGGAATGTTATCTGTCGTTTACCAACCGTCTTCGACAGCGAAGCGTGAGAAAGCACCGGAGCTTAACCGTCTTGTTAATATCCAGAGTGGCCCGATCTCAGGCTCCTGGGGTGGCGCTATGTTCGACCCCCCAGAGTCCGGGCCTGACGCTGTGTTTGACCCCCAGAGTCCGGGCCTGACGCTGTGTTTGACCCCCAGAGCCCGGGCCTGGCCTACGCCGGCCTTAGCCGACACATCGACTTCGACGCGCTGCCGGAGCCGGGCGACCGCTTCGTGCTGGAGACCCTGATCGGCGAGGGCACTTACGGAGAGGTGCACGCTGCACGCGACCACCAGCAGAACGGTGCGTACCCGCCGTCCGGGCGCAGTGCTGGGTCTGTGTGGTAGGGTGTGGCGAGGGCGGACCGTGGTGGGCGCGGCCTTACGACAAACGCCAGCCACTCGCCAGCAGGCCGGCGCGGGGATGGCACGCGGGCCAGCTAGATGGCCGATGTGGAGCAACCACGTTTGGCGTAACGAAGCACTGTCATGCGTAGGTAAAACGGAGCAGACATCCCACAGTGTGAACTCCAGACCGGAACGCGCCGTTTGTCCGGTTCAAAGTCGCCTGTCTGTCACGAGAAAGGTGAAAGCACCGCGTTGAGTCGACGCCTGCGCTTCCCCTAGGCGACTATGTGGCCGTCAAGATCCTGGAGGACATCACGGACAACATCGAGGAGATTGAGGAGGAGTTCCTGGTGCTGCGCGACCTCTGCCTGCACCCCAACATCCCCCAGTTCTACGGCATGTTCTTCAAGCCCGGCCGCAAGCGGGAGGACGACCAGCTCTGGTTCGTCATGGAGGTGAGGTCTCGCTGCCTGTTGTTTACGGCCGGCATCAGGCTACCTGTTGTTTACGGCCGGCTTCAAGCCGCCAGTCACGGTACCTGCCCGCAGGCGGCGCCGGCGGCGGCGGCCCGTTACAACACACGCTTCACAAACACCCCATCACCGCGACACACACACAGGCCGGTAAACAATGGCAGGTCCGTGCGGCGGACAAAGACACCTGCCTTGTTACAGCACGTGCTGTGTGAGGCGGCCGCCACCGGCTGGTGGTCTCCACGTGACGCGGGGACGGCTCCACGTGACGCGGGACGGCCTCTACGTGTCGCGGGGACGTCTCCACGCGACGCAGAACGGCATCACGTGACGCAGGGACGGATCCACGTGACATGGGACGGCTCGACGTGACGCAGGGACGGATCCACGTGACATGGGACGGCTCGACGTGACCCGGCCATTTGACGCAGCGATCGCCGGACGGCTCCACGTGACGCGGGACGGCTCCGTGTGACGTGCGGACGTCTCCACGTGACGCGGGACGGCTACGTGTGACGTGCGGACGTCTCCACGTGACGCGGGACGGCTACGTGTGACGCGGGAATGGCACCATGTGACGTAGCGACCGCCGGATGGCTCCATGTGACGCGGAAGGCCCCATGTGACGGGGAGTGCACATCTGCTCGGCCGAGAGGCCGTGGAAGCCTGCGGCGGCTATAACAGGCTTTGTTCGGGGTCGGCTGAGTTAATGCGGCCGCTCCGCACCACTCAGTGAGTGCTCCGCACAGCGTATCGGAGACAATACCCAATCTCCGTCGGCTGACCAAGATTTAATTAACGGCCGGTGCTTCTCCCGCAGCCGGGCGGTCGGCCTATCCGGCCGCGTATCGTAAAATCGCTTAGAGGCGCGGAATGGAATGATGTCCCCTTCCTGTCGACTCTACTTACCCACATCGGTCTTAGAAAGTCGGCTGCGGTCCGGGCGTTCAACGCCACGAAGTCACGCCTCGCGCTCCGTAACGAAACAGGCGCACGACTGAACGAGAGCGGCACATGCCACCGCGGTCCCAGCTAGCATCGGCATCTCAACACCGCTGCATCCGCTGCTCTCGAACGGCTGTCTGCGGTTCTCGAGAGTTCCGGTGCGGTGAGAAGGGCGGGCGGGCCCGCTATGACACGCGGGGCCAGAGCACCAAACAAGTGTAGTATGCGGAGCGGGCCGCCTGCGCCGCTACGATGTTGAACACCTGACGCCAACCGCTGTCACGGGATAGCCAGGGAGCCGTCGGGAAAGTGAAATATCTCGCCCGCTAATCGGCCCCAGTCAAAGCCCGCCAGCCAGCCGGCCGTCCGAGGCTCGGCCACCGCGTCATGGTGGGTGGCCAGATTTGGCAGCACTGACGGACACTGTCGATGCGGTGATAACGATCGTGTCATTACCACTGAAACGTCATCGTTTAATGCTGGTTGCAGTAAATGACAAAGCATAAATCAAGACTACCGACGTTCATCACCACCGCGAAAGGTACTTGTCTAGTACGATGGTGAGGAGACGCGGCATTTTTGAACGCAAAGTACAGGCCTAGCAAACAAGATAGCGAGTTAAAATTCATACCCAGGAAAAGAACTCCCTAGAGATCATTTCAGTGAGAGCATTACTATTCTAAGCGGATTCTCCCGGGGCCCCTACAAAGTCTACGTTAAAACACAAAAAGCATTGGGGGACACGTGCCATTTTACAAGAGCGGAAAGTTCCGCACATGGTACTCTGGGCTCTCAGCAGCGAAATGTGCAGTGTCATCGTTCTGCCGAGCCTTTTGGGTCACGTTAAATCGATGTCCCCAAACTGCTGCTTCCTCATGACATTATCTCGCGATAGCATCAAATCCCAGCGCGTTCTGTCAGTGGTGAGGCGTAATGACGCGGAGAGGCGAGATGAGGCAGTGCGGCCTCGTTTTCCCATTGCGCCGGGGCGATCGAGGGCTTCCCGGCCGCTGGAGCACATCGGACGCCTCTGGCAGGACGAGGTCACGTAACGACAGCCACCATCTTTGCGGATTATCATCCAGACACTTCCGTATCGGTTCTTGGTCTTTGTCTTTGTATTGGTTTGTCGGTTACCGTAGCTCTGATATGAACTGCTGTGTGGATGAGTTCCCGTCTGAGGCAACGTGGACGATTGAAGGTGAGCTCTTCCGGCGATCTATCTGATCTCCCATGGAGCAAATGTCTTCCATGAGGCAGCCTCTGCCGTGGTCCCGTCTCTGCCGGGATCCCGTCTCTGCGATGAGCCGGTCTCTATCCTGAGCCGTTCTCTGCAGTGAGCCAGTCTCTGCCGTAGTCCCGTCTCTGCCGTGATCCCGTCTCTGCGGTGAGCCGGTCTCTATCCTGAGCCGTTCTCCGCGGTGAGGCGGTCTCTGTCGCGATCCCGTCTCCGCGTTGAGCCGGTCTCCTCCGTGAGCTGATCTCCTCCGTGAGCCGGTCTCTGTCATGAGCCGGTCTCTGTCGTGATCCCGTCTCTGCGGTGAGCTGGTCTCCGCCGTGATTCCGTCTCTGCAGTGAGCCGGTCTCTGTCGCCGGCCGTTCTTTGTGGCGAGCAGGTCTCTGCCGTAACCCAGTCTCTGTCGCGAGGCTGGTCTCTGCCGTGATCCCGTCTCTGCCGTGATCCCGTCTCTGCCGTGATCCCGTCTCTGCCGTGATCCCGTCTCTGCGGTGATCCCGTCTCTGCGGTGAGCCGGTCTCCTCCGTGAGCTGATCTCCTCCGTGAGCCGGTCTCTGTCGTGAACCGATCTCTGTCGTGATCCCGTCTCTGCGGTGAGCTGGTCTCTGCCGTGATTCCGTCTCTGCAGTGAGCCGGCCTCTGTCGCCGGCCGTTCTTTGTGGCGAGCCGGTCTCCGTCGTGATCCAGTCTCTGTCGTGATCCCGCCTCTGCGGTGAGCTAGCCTCCGCCGTAAGATGGTCTCTCCGGCGTACCTGTGCGTCCGGCGGGCCGGCGGGCCGTTCTCACGGCTGGCGGCGGCGGCGGCTGGCGACCGTTAGCCGGCCGGCCGGTGCCGGCGCCGGCGCCGGGTCAGGGCCGCCAGGTGACGCCAGGTGATGCTCTGCGGTGCGCCCGCCGCCCGGCCGCAGCTGCCGCACACCCGGCCAACGACAGTTCCCCGCTCCGCTCGGCACGACACCAAACACGCCGGGAGACGGTGGTCATGCCGAGATGGCGGCTTCCTCGACTTCGCTGGAAGCTCGTGTGTGTTCGGCGTTTTTAAATTTCATTCCTGACTTTCTTCGGTTATGTTTTATTCTTCAACGGAGCTATGGTCTAAATTCACTTGCCTACGTTGTAATCGAATTAACCAAAATATAAGAAAGGGTGTTTGTATCGCATCGTTACAGCGTAAGGCCCTAGGCTTCATGAACCACCACATAGGCTATTGAGCCCAGCTCGGAAATGCGTCACAGATCCACGCTTCTGTGCTGACTTTTGACTGCATAAGTAGCGCAGTCGGCCCTGATGCTGGAATGGGCTGGGAGCCCTGCACCCGGAACTGCATTGTCAAAAGTGATTCCTCCGATGGCTGAACCGACCCCCTGCACTCTCCTGCACTGGTCCGTGACGGGCTGAATACACGACATGTTCCCTCGCTGAAGCATTGCGTCATCAAGCACCAGCCTGCTACCCAGAACGTATATCACTCTGGGCTGATGATGTGTCAGAACAGCAATACCGATGCTTTCTCCGCGGTTACACAACTTGAAAGCAACGCACCTCAAAGGCGGCTGCCGCTTCTTGTGGGCGCACCGCGCATCCAACTGTGGTCTGTGAATGATGCACACTTTTCACCTTTGAAGAATCACGCTGGGAAGATGTCACGCGACGTGCCGCTTTTGTCCGCTGCTGCCTTTCCCTCCGTTGCGGGCGGTATGTTTTTGTTTGGACGCCGCGTCTGTGACGTCGACCCTGTCGCCGCTCTTCATCGTCCGCTGCGCTTCGGGGAGCGTTCCGCCGCCGGCGGACAGTGCGGCGGAACGTGGCCCCCCCCCCCCCGACGGAACAGCGCCCCTCGACACCTCTGCTGGTGTGCGCACAATGGGGCAGCGTCCCTCGACACCTCTGCTGGTGTGCGCACAATGGGGCAGCGTCCCTCGACACCTCTGCTGGTGTGGGCACAGCGGGGCAGCATCCCTCGACACCTCTGCTGGTCTGGGCACAGCGGGGCAGCACCCCTCGACACCTCTGCTGGTGTGGGCACAGCGGGCAGCACCCCTCGACACCTCTGCTGGTCTGGGCACAGCGGGGCAGCACCCCTCGACACCTCTGCTGGTGTGGGCACAGCGGGGCAGCATCCCTCGACACCTCTGCTAGTGTGGGCACAGCGGGGCAGCATCCCTCGACACCTCTGCTAGTTCGGGCACAGCGGGGCAGCACCCCTCGACACCTCTGCTGGTGTGGGCACAGCGGGGCAGCATCCCTCGACACCTCTGCTGGTGTGGGCACAGCGGGGCAGCACCCCTCGACACCTCTGCTGGTGTGGGCACAGCGGGGCAGCATCCCTCGACACCTCTGCTGGTGTGGGCACAGCGGGGCAGCACCCCTCGACACCTCTGCTGGTGTGGGCACAGCGGGGCAGCACCCCTCGACACCTCTGCTGGTGTGGGCACAGCGGGGCAGCACCCCTCGACACCTCTGCTGGTGTGGGCACAGCGGGGCAGCACCCCTCGACACCTCTGCTGGTCTGGGCACAGCGGGGCAGCACCCCTCGACACCTCTGCTGGTGTGGGCACAGCGGGGCAGCATCCCTCGACACCTCTGCTGGTGTGGGCACAGCGGGGCAGCATCCCTCGACACCTCTGCTGGTGTGGGCACAGCGGGGCAGCATCCCTCGACACCCTCTGCTGGTGTGGGCACAGCGGGGCAGCATCCTCGACACCTCTGCTGGTGTGGGCACAGCGGGGCAGCATCCCTCGAGACCTCTGCTGGTGTGGGCACAGCGGGGCAGCACCCCTCGACACCTCTGCTGGTGTGGGCACAGCGGGGCAGCACCCCTCGACACCTCTGCTGGTGTGGGCACAGCGGGGCAGCACCCCTCGACACCTCTGCTGGTCTGGGCACAGCGGGGCAGCATCCCTCGACGGGGCAGCATCTCCTGACACCTCTGCCGGTGTTGGCTCTGTGTGGCACTTAGTGAGGGGGAAGCTCTGCAGTAGCCGACCTCGCCGATCAGAGTTGCATTACATCACGTATGTGGTGCTCGCTCACGACGTTTGTCAGATGTCGTCTCCTTTCTTTTGGACCGCCTGTCATGTGGCATAGCTGGTACCCCCGTTAGCTGGCCCTGCACAATATGAGAGATACGGAGGGTGAACCCGACATGCCTTTCAGCAGATCCCGCCGGCTACATGCGCCGCCCCACACCCCACTGTAGGACCGCAGGCAGCAGGCGCTGGTACACAGCCCCTCTCGCCGCCGCGGGTCTGAGAGACAGGACTCTGGGAGTGGCGTGACGCCTGATCACCGGACACGAGTCAACATTCGCCATGCTTTCTAGCGCGATGTGCCAGCACGGCAGTACGGTGCTTACACTTTCGCCCGCTGGCGCTTACGGGGATGGGGAGCACCACGCGGCGAGTGCGTAGTCAGGATGTTCGTGGCACATGTGTGGGCGGTGTGTACCCGCCACGTGCATGGGCAGGGTGCTCGCGGCACGTGCGAAGGCAGGGTGTACGCATCACCTCACGCGCCGTTCGCTCCTTTGGCCAGCTCTGCAGCGGCGGCTCGGTGACGGACCTGATCCAGACGCTGACCCGGGTGGGCCAGACGCTCACCGAGCTCCAGATCGCCTACATCATCAAGGAGACGATTGACGTGAGTGGCCGACGGCTACGGCGGCCCCGCCGCCGCTCTTGTTCGCATGGCACGGAGCGGGCGTGTGGTGACGCCCCAGTTTGGGCTCGTTAGCTACCAGCCGCGGTGCGCTCAGCAGATCGGTGCGCATTGCGGTGCCCTTTTAAAACACCCTTCGCAGTGTGCCGCCTCACAAATGCCAGCGTGTTACGAACGTAAAGGGTCCCATCAGCCTGCTACAGTAACAAACCTCACGCAGGCCCTGCTGTACCTGCATCAGAGCCACTGCATGCACCGCGACGTCAAAGGTCACAACATCCTGCTGACGAAAGAGGGCCGCATCAAGGTGGTCGACTTCGGCGTCTCCTCCCACCTGGCGGCCACCCTGGGACGCCGCAACACCTCGGTCGGCACGCCCTACTGGATGGCGCCGGAGGTGGGTGACGTCCCAGCGGCGGCGGTGACGTGCTGCGACGGCGTCCGGGCCTGGACCGCCCCCCCCCCCCTCCCCCTGCCAGCCGGCAGCGTGTGGCGTGTCGTGTCCGCCGGTGCCTCGGCTCAGTACGGTGCCACACACATGTGGCCGCTGTGTGGCAGACAGTCGTGTGACGGACGGGGTTGCGCCCCAGACATAGCACTCTTGTGTGTGTGTGTGTGTGTGTGTGTGTGTGTGTGTGTGTGTGTGTGTGTGTGTGTGTGTGTGTGGTGTGTGTGTGTGTGGTGTGTGTGTGTGTGTGTGTGTGTGTGTGTGTGTGTGTGTGTGTGTGGTGTGTGTGTCCGTGTCCGTGTCCGTGTCCGTGTCCGTGTCCGTGTCCGTGTCCGTGTCCGTGTCCGTGTCCGTGTCCGTGTCCGTGTCCGTGTCCGTGTCCGTGTCCGTATCTGTGTCCGTGTCTGTATATGTGTGTGGCCTGTTAATTTCCGTCGGTCGGGTGAAAACAAGGTGGTCACGCTTGCTGGGGTTACCGCTTCGTGGCTTTGCCTGACACGTTACAAGTTCCTCGTTAACATTTGGCTAAGGGCCAGTAGCACAGATCGTACGTGGAACTGAAATGGGTCTGTTGGGTGAGTGCGATCGGGCCTTTGCGACGAGTCGCGTTTGACAGATACTCTGCTCTAAAGTCATCTCTGCGTAGCATTCGATTGACTTCACAAGGGCAAAAATGCACAGCATGCAAATTGTGTACGCTGCAGCTTACAGCCGACGCCAAGCGTTGCTGATAAGATCAGTGGAGATAGGACTGGGGTCTGATAAGACCAGTGGAGATAGGGATAGGCTCTGATGAAACCAGTGGAGAAAGGACTGGGGTCTGATGGGACCAGTGGAGATAGGGATAGGGTCTGATGAGACCAGTGGAGATAGGGCAGTGGTCTGATGAGACCGGTGGAGAAAGGACTGGGGTCTGATGAGACCAGTGGAAATAGGGATAGGGTCTGATGAGACCAGTGGAGATAGGGCAGGGGTCTGATGAGACCAGTGGAGAAAGGACTGGGGTCTGATGGGACCAGTGGAGATAGGGATAGGGTCTGATGAGACTAGTGGAGATGGGGATAGGGTCTGATGAGACCAGTGGAGATATGGCTGGGGTCTGATGAGACCAGTGGAGAAAGGGCTGGGGTCTGATGAGACCAGTGGAGATAGGGCTGGGGTCTGATGTGACCCTGTACTCGTGCTTTATGCAAACGAAATGCAATACCATTCACTAAGAGATTCCAGGTATACTCCGGAATGATCACAATCCTCGAATAATATGCGATTCTCAAAAAACGCGGGATTATTCTTGTTTGTTACTGTGACTCGGAACGAACTTAATCGTCTCCATGGGCCATGCATCAGAAGCTAGAGATGCCCCGCGACGAACGCCCACGCGCCCTCCAACATTGCGCGTTTCGCGCAGCCGCCGCTGATCTCTGCCGTTCGGTCACCAGGTGATAGCGTGCGAGCAGCAGTACGACTATAGCTATGACGTCAGGTGTGACGTCTGGTCACTGGGCATCACAGCCATCGAGCTGGCCGACGGCGAACCGCCATTGGCTGATATCCATCCAATGAGGGCGCTCTTCCAGGCAAGTGACGTCACGGTGGCTGTCGCCTACTGAGGTGTGCTTTGTTGTTAACAGTTCCATAAAAGTATAGCGATTCAGCTGGCTTGGAGGGCAACCGCAGCATTATTATATGCACCCTTCTTCTTCTTTTGACTCATGTGTGCAATACTACGGTGTTTTTTTCTCCCAAACATCTAGTTGCAAAAGGGTGTGCGCTACAGGGTTGATCCAAGATTGAGATTAATACACTTTTTGGAATTTAATTGGCACAGTAAATGGTATCATTTCATGGCATACGTAATGAACTAACTGCTCTTATTTTCTATCCCACTCCAACAATTATGGGTGCATGTCGCATTTGTTGTTGACGCTCAGCATAATGTCATAGCACCGCACCCTGGCGGCAGATTCCGAGAAATCCTCCCCCAACGCTGAAGCGGCCGGCTGACTGGAGTCCGTCTTTCAATGACTTCGTCAGCCATTGTCTGGTCAAAGACTTCGAGAAGAGGCCGTTCATGAGGCCGCTTCTGGAGCACCCCTTTCTGAAGATGGTGCCAAATAATGTGGACTACGTAAGTGCTGTTCATGGCGTGCACCGCTTCACCTCAACTGAGAGGGGAATTACGTGATTTTCTTAAGGAAGCGGTGGTGCATTTCATGTCACCTCATGCTGATGTACGGCTAGAGGAGACGTTTCACAGGGTCCTGTGCAGGCTGGACCTGGACAACCAGCCTTTACTTCGAGAGGCTTGGCACCGCCGTGCCAGGGGGACTGCAGCTGCAGGTCAGCTGATGGCTGGTGATCGGTGTGCGCCTCCTCCGCCTGTGTGACCTTCGTTGTGACCTGGCCGTGACCGTCCCAGGTGCGGGTGCAGCTCCGTGACCTGATCCGTGACGTCAGCAAGAGCGGCGGCCGGCCGACGCGCCAGCCGGACGTCACCACCAAACAGGGCCGCCTCAAGACGGACCGCAAAGCCAAGCCGCAGCGCATCTTCGTCGACGACCTGGCCTCGCTCGAGCGGCTGACCGAGGACGTGATCGTGGAGCAGCTGCAGCAGCGCTACCGAGCCGGACAGATCTACACCTACGTCGGCGACATCCTCATCGCCGTCAACCCCTTCACTAACATCAACATCTACGGCGAGAAGGTCGGCACCGGGCTGTCAGTCACTGGCTCGCACTTGTCAAGTGCTGTTGGTTGGTATTTTTTCGGAGTTGATCCTTGGTACAATGCATATACCTGCTAGCTGCTGAACCACATGTACGTCGGTTTACAGGAACTGTAAGCTTTGGCGAAAATTATTCAAGGAGACGCCGTTTTATTGTGTGCAGCCGCATTTAGTTGTATTATTACTAAACCGTTACCCAACGCGCCTTTGCTCAATGTGCAGGGAGGTGGTCTGGTCCTGAGCCCATTGGCGTTTTAACTGATTGAGTCCCGTCTGGGTGATTCATTCCCATGGGTTGTCATCAAAGCGGACTAAACCCTTAGAGTAACCCAGCATCTGTGGTGGCGCGCGAGTGGCAGCAGATGACGCATTTGCAGACCTGAAATATAAACCTGCCTTAGCACTCCCAACCTTATCCGCACAGGTCGTGGTCGTGATTCATTATCCTTACTAGCCTAAAATCAGCTTGTGTTGTCTCATGTAACATAACTGCTTTTTTCCTTGGTACTGTTTTTTCGGCATTGAGCTCAAAGTTCTTATGTTGGGTTATCAACCAAATATACCAGGAGGTGCCAGTTAAACGACCTTGTAGTGCTAAATAGCATGTTGAATGCCAATGCTGAATGCTAAATGCTGAATAGCCAGCAAATCATGAACGCATATAGTCCAAACAAGGTTATCAGCATCAGGAATATGTATATATATATATATATATATATATATATATATATATATATATATATATACAAAACGCTGGCATGAATGTCATATAAACCTCAATTTATAAAGCTGAAGCGTCATTTTAGCGTGGTCAGGAAAGTCTTGTTGGTTTTGGTGTAATTAGGTTAAAGTGTATGTATTTTCGGTCGCACAGTGATAATAATGACGTAATCACTAATCGCTCGCGATGCGAGTATCTCGGTTAGGCTGAAGCGGACATTAGCAGCGCCATGAACGACTGTCACTACCAGGCGATGGCTATGACCTCATGTCCGACCTGTAATGTGCATTTTCATTCTTGTTATGCAGCAATTACTATTGCATAATTGCAATACATCAATCAAATTACCTTGAATTCATGGTGACGACAGGTAACTATCGATTTTCATCACGAGTAAAACCAAATTGCATTCTCGGCATGGAAGGCTGGGACGCTTAAAATCGTGGGGTTTTCCAAGGGGCGCAGCACGTGTTCCCCGCACGGGTACTCTCCACTGACCAGCTAGCAGTGTAGCCGCATTTAGTTGTATTATTATTAAGCCGTTACCCAATGCGCTTTTGCTCATCTCTCTCTCTCTCTCTCTCTCTCTCTCTCTCTCTCTCTCTCTCTCTCTCTCTCTCTCTCCTCTCTCTCTCTCTCTCTCTCTCTCTCTCTCTCCTCTCTCTCTCTCTCTCTCTCTCTCCTCTCTCCTCTCTCTCTCTCTCTCTCTCTCTCTCTCTCTCTCTCTCTCTCTCTCTCTCTCTCTCTCTCTCTCTCTCTCTCTCTCTCTCTCTCTCTCTCTCCTCTCTCTCTCTCTCTCTCTCTCTCTCTCTCTCTCTCTCTCTCCTCTCTCTCTCTCTCTCTCTCTCTCTCTCTCTCTCTCTCTCTCTCTCTCTCTCTCTCTCTCTCTCTCTCTCTCTCTCTCTCTCTCTCTCTCTCTCTCTCTCTCTCTCTCTCTCTCTCTCTCTCTCTCTCTCTCTCTCTCTCTCTCTCTCTCTCTCTCTCTCTCTCTCTCTCTCTCTCTCTCTCTCTCTCTCTCTCTCTCTCTCTCTCTCTCTCTCTCTCTCTCTCTCTCTCTCTCTCTCTCTCTCTCTAAAACATCTATCAGTGTCATTATTACTTAATTTCATATATTTATGTCTTCTTGGATAATGTCAAGAAGGCAGACGCTAAAATCTACCGATGATTCAAGTCCCTCTACACAGGTGCTCCGATAACCCACGAAATGCATTTGTTCTGGACCATCTGTCCTCACCTGGAAGGTACTGATGTTGCAGCGTCATGGGCATCTGGCTTACCTCGTGCAGCCTGTTTGTGCGCCGCGAAGCTGGCTGCCTCAACATCGGCACCATTCACACCTGGCAGTGCATGGCCGGGGTAGTGGGCGGAGCGCAGATCAAACCGCGGGACACGTGACAGACACGTGATGAGACATCCCAGTGTCGTGACGTGACGCCGCTGCGCACCGACCTTGAGTGGCGTCCGCAACAGATTTCTCGTGGGGATCGAAGCACCATGCGGTCGTAGGCTGGCCGGGTTTTCGTCTAGGTGTCGGTTGTCAGCGGCATGGACGCCGTCATGGCGCGCTTACGACGCGTCGTTGATACCAGTGAATGTTGCCTCGTGTTCAGTGCTCGACGACTCACGCGGTGTTTGCGGTACTCCCCCGCGCTTATCTCCTCGTATCGAACTACTGACTGCTGTAGTGCCTCAGTACGTGACGTATTGTACGTTTGCGACGCAGGAACAGTGGAAATACCGCAGTCTGTGCAAGTCAGACGGGTCACCGCATGTGTACGCCGTGGCCGACTCCGCCTACCACGCCATGCTCCACCACAGGTGAGTGGCCTCCGCATGCCACACTTAGCTCCACAGCTTGGAAATGTTAAACGGCCATATATGTGTATAGGTATATATATACATATATAGGCAAAAGTATGCATATAAAAAGGTATATGCATATCTATAAAAGGGCAGCAAGATGCGGATATATATATATATATATATATATATATATATATATATATATATATATATGTATATATATATCTCTCTCTCTCTCCCTCTCTCCCTCTCTCTCTCTCTCTCTCTCTTCCTCTCTCTCTCTGTCTCCCTCTCTCTCTCTCCTTCTTTCTCTCTCTCTCTTGATGCCCCTTTTCTTCCTCCCATCCTCTCGCCTCTTCATTGTTCATCTTTCTCCTTCCGTTCTTCCTTCCCCTTCTTTTATTTTCCCTTCCTCATTTCCTTCCCATCATTTCTCCCTCCGACTCGTCTTCCCCGCATACATTCTCTTTCTTCTTTCGCCGTATCGCCCTCACTCTCTCCCTCTTCCTGCCTTTCGTTTCAAAAGGGTCAGACATATTTTGAACAAGCTTTAAGTTGTCCTCTTTGGAGCACACTCAGTCGGCCAAAGTAACTTCCACGGACCGCCTTAACTGTACCGTCTCAGTGCATCGCATTTATTGACCTGCAGTCCCCGTCACAGGATTGACATCTAGCACTGACCCCGCAGGCAGAACCAGTGCGTGGTGATCTCCGGAGAGAGCGGAGCCGGCAAAACCGAGTCGGCCAACCACCTCCTCCGCCAGCTGGTTAACCTGGGCCAGGCGCCCAACCGCAGTCTCGAGGAAAAGATCCTTGCCATGAACCCCATCATGGAGGCGTTCGGCAACGCGCGCACCGGCATCAACGACAACTCGTCGCGCTTCGGCAAGTTCCTGGACGTGACGTTCAACTGGACGGGCCGCGTGGCCGGCGCCCGCTGTCTCCGTCTACCTGCTGGAGCAGTCGCGGGTCGTCCGACAAGCCAAGTGAGTGGCGCCAGGCGGCGGACGGCCAGCTAGACAGACAGAACACGTCCTGTCTTAACAAAGCATTGATAATGGCTAGGATGTATCTATCCGTGTATGATAAGCAAGAATATCATCTGTCCCTCCCGTCCTTGTTCTTGCTTTATCTTAAATCTTCGCGACGCCCGCTTGTCGGAGCAGGCTGCCTGCGTCAGCCACAAGTGAGCCGAAAGGCTCCCTGGGGAGAGACCCCAGCCAGACGCCCAACGCACACTCTTAGGGGTCTCTGCACGTGCTCAATGTCGGCGGCTGCAACCCCAGGTGCATGTTGACCTACCCCCACCGTCATCCATTCTCCTTCATCCCATAGCCCTGAAATGATAATTTTTGATCGAAAGGGGTCTAATCCAAACAACCAAACCAATATTGATATGAGCCACGGCTTTCAGGACGGAACAGAACTTCCACATCTTCTACTACCTCTACGACAGTCTGCAGGCGGATGGGAGGCTGGAGGAGTTCCACCTTAGTGCCGACAAGCGCTCCCACCACCGCTACCTCAACAACAACAGCGGAAACAACAAGACGGTGGCGGTAAGGGCTTAGGGTGTACACGAACTGTCAACCTTGTCTCCGTTTGGAAAACAATATTCCATTTCTAGGCATGGAATATTTGCCTCGGCTGAGACCAATCAAATATAGCCAGTTTATTGACTCACCAGTCATAAAGGATGGCTGCACAGCACACATAATAAGTGCTGTCCGTAGTATAACGCCTGGCTACATATGTTCACGCACCACGTCGTCACGACACGCATGCTTGAATTAGGGGATGACCGAGATGCATCGTTGATTTCCGCAGAAAAACGTGGAGGCCATGTCGATGATCAAGCGGAGCCTGTCGATGCTGGGCTTTCGGCGTGAGCAGCTGGAGTGTATCTTCAGAATGCTGGCCGCCATCATCCATCTGGGCGACGTCACGTTCATGTCTTCAAACGACGAAGAAAGCAACACTGAAAAAGTGGTTGTTCAAACAAAAGACAAACTGAAGGATGGTGAGTATTAGGAGCAATAACAAATTCAGAAGCTCATTAGTTCATGGCATCCAAAGGAGAGCTCGAGTCAAATTAGAAGCTCACTATTCGGCCTTTCGACATCAATCCTGCCGTTGACTCGGAACGTCACGATTGGATGGTAATGACCCACACGATGAACACTACTCGGCGTGAGCTCTGGTCTCACTGAAATCCATCCGTTGGAAGGGCTCGGACTTAATCTTTTATACACAATCCTAGTGAAAAAGTGTTTCATTGTGAGAAAACACGATGAAATTATTTTGACAGGTGTTTCCTGACAGAGTTTTTACGATTGAGAGAAGGCGTTCATCTTCTCAGATGTTATGCTCTTTGTTGAGTCCCCCCCCCCCTTCACAGAGCTCGCCTGTGCATACGGTCCCTGGGTCCCCCGCCCGCACACTCATCCCTGCCCGCGGCAGGGGTTTCACTCGACTTTGCAGTTCCGGAAAGGCCGGAATCTGTTGGAAGTTGTAATGTGAGGCAGGCACCAAAGAGACGAGATTCTAGACAACAAGATCTCCCATGCGTCTGAACAGTGACCAGTGGCCGGCATATACAAGATCACCACGTCGACGCAAGCGCACAATGACTAGTTTTAGAACCTTTATAGTCTCATGTTTTGTCGCTGCAGTGCGGTGGCGTTATTCGTCTGCAACCCCATGGCGGCCGCCGCAGGTGGTGACGCGGTTATCCTCCTGGTGGCGACCTGTATCTTCAACCCTGGTGACCTTTACCGCGGATGTTCTCAGCTGCTGACCTGCTCGGCGTGACCACGGAGGATCTGCGCGAGGTGCTCACCTTGAACTCAGTGGTTACCCGGGGAGAGAGCATCACGCGCAACAACAGCCACGAGGAGGCCGTCACCACACGGGACGCCATGGCCAAGGCGCTGTACGGCAGGCTCTTCGACTGGATCATCAACCAGATCAACAAACTGCTGGCCTTCTCCCGCATTGTCTAGTAAGGAGCGCTGTCAGTTAGACTGCAGACTTCCTTAGCTTAGTTTCGCTGTTAGATTCAACTAGGTTGCAAGAAATACCATGGATGACGCACCGGAAATAAAGCTCACCAGGAGCACGAGGCGATGTTTGACCTTCAGAAGTGTTGCAACGGTGTACGCCCATATGTATGCAAGCATTTGCTGATTTAGATGCTGGTTACAAGCCACCCCCAAATACAAAACTGACGATGACGTTGGTAAATAAAACAGCTTGGAAGTGCACGCTTGAATGGTAGTCACAGCGTGCAGTGTGCACAGGTAAGTTTGTATCGCTGACATGTCTAAACTGGCGGTGATCAGTGGCCTCCTGCAGCAGACCGTGCAGCGATCCGACCGTTACATGTACTAGTCACGGTGGCTGCCGTCTGCACGGTCAGGTCAAGCGAGCATCGCTCTGATCACCATTGCAGCGGAGAATCGCTGGCGGTGGGCTTGCTCGACATCTTCGGCTTCGAGAGTCTGGACGGCAACTCATTCGCTCTGACGCTCTGATCACCATTGCAGCGGAGAATCGCTGGCGGTGGGCTTGCTCGACATCTTCGGCTTCGAGAGTCTGGACGGCAACTCATTCGAGCAGCTTTGCATCAACATCGCCAACGAACAGCTGCAGTACTACTTCAATCAGCACATCTTCTCGTGGGAGCAGCAGGTAACAGCCTCAGTCCTGCTTCAAACAGCACATCTCGTGGGAGCGGCAGGTAGCAGCCGCAGTGCTACTTCAAATATCACATCTTCTCGTGGGAGCAGCAGGTAACAGCCTCAGTCCTGCTTCAAACAGCACATCTCGTGGGAGTGGCAGGTAGCAGCCACAGTGCTGCTTCAACTATCACATCTTCTCGTGGGAGCAGCAGGTAACAGCCTCAGTCCTGCTTCAAGCAGCACATCTCGTGGGAGCGGCAGGTAGCAGCCGCAGTGCTACTTCAAATATCACATCTTCTCGTGGGAGCAGCAGGTATTAATTATAGCAGTCGCAGTACTAGATTTTAACCAGCGTGCATGATCCTTCCTTCATGGGCCTGGATGGCTGCACTGTGACGCAGTGCTTCATTATAACAGTAAAGCCAAATTCTTTCCAATTCCGACCGGCTGATCATCGCCGAATGAGGCAGCCGAGATTCACTGTTCCAAAGAATAACTGTTTATACGCGCGAAGCATAATACTGAGGTGTTCAATGGCTGAACCTATACTTCCACATGTTCAGTGGCCATTGCCGTCCTACCTTACGTGGGTCTTAGGTTATGACGTCGTTTTAGTTCAAGTCAGAAACGTGTTTCGTTCAGGCGTCTACATAACCCGATGGCGTACGTGGCCGTACGCCCTGAAATTGCGCCTCCTTTAGGTCTTCTGGCTAAGGTCTTACTCCCTCACAGCGCTCCACTTCTCTCACGTGTTTGGTCGCGCGCCTTGGTACAAGGCGGATATTGAAGTGATGTTTTACGCGTGTCGTGTTTCCTTGCTAGGGGTCCGTCTATGGCTTTCACAACAAGGAAATCTCTCACAATGTGTCTAGTACAAGCGCGCTATGATTAACATCTGTGGTTTATTCATATTGATTAAGTATTTATCTTCTCTTGTGGAAAGTTCCGTGCTCTTGACTGTTCGGACCATCTGTGTAGGAAATCTCCACGGCTAAATAAACGGCATCTCAGAGGAATAAACTGTAAGCATTTAAGGGTGATGAAACCCCAGATTACAAAAGCGAGCCCTCCTGCAAGGCAATTTAAAGCCTTCGTTGGACAAACAGTTGGTTTTACAACGGCCACCGATTCTGGACTCAGTAGCCAACTGGTCAACGCTTTCGACCAGCTGCTGCTCGTGCACGATGCTCACTTACTTCTCCCTTCGATGACGACCGATTCTTTGTCGAAGGGGTTCATCTTTATGAGCAATGCACGCTACAAAAACCAAATATGAAAACAAGGGGTTTCGTATCGTCCTCATTTAATGCTGCCATGTAGTCCGTTATTTCTTTCTGACCTGGTACACGGCGAAAACATACGATGCAAACAACGCAAGCACGATCAGACGCAACGAGGACCTTGCAACTTGAAGCGCGCTGACAGGACGTTCGTTTTCTGACATTGAGGATGTGGCTGGTAACGCTTGCCGTCGGTGACAGATGTGTCACCGGGCCGTCGGTGATCTCTTGTCCGCCGATAGGAGTACATATCGGAGGGTATCGGCGTCGAGCTGGTCGACTTCACCGACAACCGGTCCGTGCTGGACATGTTCCTGACCAAGCCGCTGGGGCTGCTCGCCCTGCTGGACGAGGAGAGCCGGTTCCCCCGCGCCACCGATAAGACGCTCGTCGGTGAGCGACGGACGCCTCACGCAGACCGGACCCGGCCCCGGCCGGTCACCCTAGCCTGTCACGATGGCTGGCAGCAGACATTGAAATCGCCGTGTCGTAAATGACTATTGTCGTAAATGCAACGTAACGTAACGTAACGTAAACGTAAATGCAACGTAAATGTAAACGTAAATGACTATGCCGGCTTTATTCTCGACCGACGGTGTTAAGTTCAAGCGTTCAGGCACGTACTAGTGTAACGGTTTGCAGGATCTAAACCTTGAAATGCCGCCTACTCCGTCCTTGTTGCAAGGATTGCATCTTATGGACAATGCATGCCTGTGTGTAGTCTACCGCACCGTTCGGGGTGTACACGTATAAAGTCACGACCTGTAATCCTGCAGAGAAATTCCACAACAACGTCAAGTCCCGCCACTACGTCCGGCCAAAGGGCGACTCCCTCAGCTTCGAGATCAAGCACTTCGCAGGGAAGGTGCAGTACAGTTGCGCGGACATGCTCTCCAAGAACCGCAACTTCCTGCCGCCCGAGGTCATCCACGTGTTCCGACAGAGCTCGTCAGAGGTCAGCAGTCAGACTGAGCTGAAGCCATGCAGTCTCAGAGATCACGTGGTGACAAACGGACCCTTTGAGAGGCGTGTGCTGCCGTGCGGACAGAATGCCCTGACCGTAACAGGTGGCGGAGAGTTCAAACATGTCGCTGTTCATTCTGATTTCAACTGAGCGTGACGGCAACATTTCCTCGCTGGTGTTTTGTGATGACGATGTTGATTGTAAATGTCATTTGCATACAGCAGGTGGCAATTATTATACCTCCCTGCAGCGCAAAGAATGGTTGTCACAAATACCTTCCCACCTAGCAAACGTGACGTCACTGCCAGGTGGCACTCGGTCCAAATAGCACCACATGCTGTTCAAAATGTGAATCGCCGGAGCCTTGCATAGATTGACCTCATCGGCCCATGTGTCCATTCGATGTCGTGACCATGAGCGGTGTCCAAGTTTACGGCTCTGCCCAGCCGTTCGGTGAGCATCGCCGATCTTCTTGCGCGGCAGGTGGTGCGGACGCTGTTCCAATCGCCGCTCACCAAGACCGGCAACCTGTACACGGAGAGCGTGGCGCCGGGCCCACACGGGATCGCCAGGTCGCCGCCCAGCAGCGGCGCCAGCTCGCCCGGCTCCGACGGACGGGCCGACGGCATCTGCCAGGACCTGCTCGGAAAGGTCTGGGTCTGGGTCTGCGTCTGGGTCGCCCCGGCCGCGCGACAGGGCGGGGGCGGTAAAAAGTAGTGCTATGCGTGTCGCAGGATTGTGATGCGAGAATCATTTGATGACAGCTCAGATACGTTGTATGGCCGAAGTTGTAATGGACGTTTTTAATGTTTATGTATTTCGTTATCTTTTTCTGTTCGTGATCACTGCATCTTTGTGGGATTGCTTCTGAGGAGACTTGCTGCATGCTTTAGCTGTCGAATTGGGTCATGGGATGCAGTGGCTTTATCGTAAAAAAATTACCGGGTGCGGTTATACTCTCCAGTGATGGTGCACAAGATTTGGCAAGCTACTCACAAGAGGCATGACATGCACGCGAGATCTGACCAGTTCAGGTCGACGTAACACATGCTCCCGCTGTGTGGATGGCGCCCGCTACACCTGGATCTGGCAGCCAGTCAGGTAGCTGTTAGCTATGCTGTGCAGGCGTTCCTCCTCGTGACTGACCGAATCTGCCGGCGTCCGACAGTTCCATTCCGGCAGCCAGTCGTTCGGGCTGGCGTCGCAGACCAAGGCGCAGCAGACCGTGTCCACCTACTTCCGCTACAGCCTGATGGACCTGCTGCAGAACATGGTGAACGGAGCGCCGCACTTTGTGCGCTGCATCAAACCCAACGACAACAAGAAGCCGAACAGCATCAGCAAGGACAAGGTGACGGTCAGCCGGCTGCTGGTCACCGCTGATGGTCGGCCAGCGCTGCTTCTGTCCCGGTCACCTCTCGGGCAGTCAGCCGCTCTGCGGTCGGACCCCTTACTCACTACCATTCTCCTCTGCGAGCGGCGGTGAAGAATACTCGTATGCGCACTATGTGGTGTCTAATATCAATTCGATTATTTGTCTTTCCCTGAAACTAGCTCTAGGATGTAAACCTGAGTGACAAACCTGTGCTTAGTAGTTTAAGAAATATCGACCAGTTTTATATCCTCTTGGGGATTCCAGCAGTTGCTGAAATCGGTCAGTGCATATTCTGAGATTAGCATAGCGCATAGCGACCCCCTCCGGTGACGTTGCCGACTGGTCACTGGTGGCGTCATCTCTGTTCAGGTTCGTCGTCAGCTACGGTACGCTGGTGTCCTGGAGACGGTCCGGATTCGCCAGCAAGGCTTTTCGCACCGCATCCTGTTCGCTGAATTCCTCAAACGGTCAGTTTAACCACACCCTTGTATTGCACCCCGTCGGTACATTAGGGACGCAACCCTCCCTCCAGGTCACTGATCTGTGGCCTCGTTTTAAAGATCTTCAGAGTAAAATATGTCACACCGTCAGCGCTTGCCGGCGTTCCCAGAGCTCTGTGTTTGCTATGTCATGTTTGTCAGTGGTCCCAGTGGTCAGTGTGCAGTGTGCTGTATGTAAGTGTGCAGTGGTCATCATGTAACATAATCGGTGCTCCACCTCCGCCGCTCACGCCCCTTCCAGCTACTGCTTCCTGGCGTTCAACTTCGAGGAGCGTGTGACAGCGACGGCCGACTGTTGCCGCCTGCTGCTGCTGCGGCTCAACATGGACGGCTGGGCCGTCGGCCGGACCAAGGTCTTCCTCAAGTACTACCACGTCGAGTACCTGGCCAAGCTGTACGACAAGCAGGTCCGTGGTGACGCTGGTGGACCGGACTGCAGGCGGTGAAGGTGTCTCCAGCGAATCAGGGACATCATCATAAACGTACCTGTGCTCGCAATGGCTAGGTTCACTGTTACGTAGTCAGAAACTTAGTTAGCACTTGTTGAATGATGAGGTGTTTGCCTTTAGGGCTTAGTGGGCTTAATTGAAACCTTGGCTCTCATTTCTCTGTAATGGCCACCAAAAACTGTCATCTGCTCAACATGATTGGTTACTGCCATGATCAAATGCTCGAACTGATGACAAGAATCAGGTCATCACCTGTAGCAACCATCCTACGACAGAATGTCTTATTCCAAGTATTTTACATAAGAGAGAAAACCTTTCAGCTCTTGGTTCTTTAGTGTTATGAATTCAGAGCTTTTATGCCGAGTTATAGACTTTCGATACATCAGGAGGCATTGGCTAAACGATGTTATAGCGCAAACATTGACTAAATCAACAGCACCCGACGTTTCAAGCTGGTAGTTATGACATTTGAACTAGCCTCGCTACACGGCAATATGATATAATGCCGCCAGCGAACACACCCTTGCAATACCCTGGCGCGTCGATGTGAAGCGACAGACTGACTGGCGGAGCCGTGCTGCGTTGCGAGGGTGAAGCGCCTATCGCGCCACCGGTCTGTGCCGTGCTGTGGTCCCTCCCGAGGGATGTGGAGGTGACTGAGTGTCCTGGCAGCCGTGCGCCACGACCGGCCGTTTCATGTCCCCAACGCTGGTGAAGACATAGCCGACGGCTGGTGCGGGTGAGGATGACGGAGGCGGACTGGGCCGGCCGTTGCAGATTGCCAAGGTGGTGAAGGTGCAGGCGATGGTGCGGCGCTGGCTGGTGCAGGTGCGCATGCGCGAGAGGTGGCGTATCTCGCGCAGTGTGGTGACGCTGCAGCGCTGTGTGCGCCGCTGGCTCAGCAGGAAGCGGCGTCAGCAGCACACAGGTGTGTGCCCCCCCCCCCCCCCCCTCCCCCCCTCCCCGGCCCACTGCACGGGGAACCCATGGGACTCAGCAGCATCGGACGGGGAGTAAAGAAAGGATCGAGACCGGAAAACGAGTTCAGCTTGCGTCGGTGGCAGCCAGAAAGGCGAAGGTAGTCTCTGGATAGCGAACCTTATCAAGCCTCTACTTCTTCCATCAGTGGTGTTTCCCAGAATGGCATTGGAGTGTTGGACAAAATCAAAGATTCTAACAAATACGTTAGTCTTTTCGTGTATTAAACGATGTTTTTGGAGAGTCGAATTAAATTTTCAAGGGGAGGGGGCATGGCACATTGTTGCCGTCTATGTGGGCAACAGTTAGTCATCTCAATCATGAGTGGTCTCAAAAGAATGGACGCAGTTTAAGACGAGGGTACACGCAGTATGCAACATAGTGCAGCAGCTGTCAAAGCCAAAAGAGCGGATGCGTCTGATCTGGCCTGGCTAATCTGCATCTGATCTGGTCCTGAGCTTCCAGCACAGGCCGGCATCGGTTCCAGGAGACCTCGAGGTGGCAACGTTTATATGAACTTCGCGTCTCGTTGTGCCAGTAGTCATTCAAGCTCAGCGCGTGAAGGCTTCGTAGCGATTTGGTTGGTACTCTGAGCTGGCACTCCACTTCCCTTGTCGCCTGTGATTGTGTCGAATTGCACGCATCGCTCACTTCAGTGGCATGCCTGTCACGGAAGTATGACCGCATTTTGACCCCGTGACCCTCGGGGAGCGAACGTCAGGCCCTTTGATCTGCGATTGAGCGAACTGACTCGACGATGTCTGCAGACCGCAAGCCGTCGGTGGCTGTCGGAGAGATGACCAGACCGGAGAGCATCGACGCGGCTGACGAGCCGGACAATGCGTTTGATCTTAATGCTCTCACCGAAGACCAGGCCGCCACCACCATCCAACGCGGTAAGCACGCAAGCTCTCCTCCATACCTCGGGAATCTGTCGCTCGAAAGATGCGTTGGCAATCTGCGTTCGTTCTAATAAAGCGTTCGTTCTAATGCCGCCCCGCATTTTACGTTTTCTTATGTCACGGAAATCATGTTCGAAGATTCAGTGCTTGACCTTGGAGTTCATGCCCAATCGCATATTCGGTGAATGGAACTGACGTCCACCGCGGCTGGGGTCCTGTTGTCACTGTGACTGACGCTAGCCGCTGCTGCTGCTCGTTCGGTAGTGTGACCTGGAGGCCGTGTTGACAGTGTGCAGGTGTGACCTGGAGACCGTATTGACAGTGTTCAGGTGTGACCTGGAGACCGTATTGACTTCGCTCAGGTGTGATCTGGAGACCGTGTTGACACCGCTCAGGTGTGACCTGGAGACCGTGTTGACAGTGTTCAGGTGTGACCTGGAGACCGTGTTGACACCGCTCAGGTGTGACCTGGAGACCGTGTTGACAGTGTTCAGGTGTGACCTGGAGACCGTGTTGACACCGCTCAGGTGTGACCTGGAGACCGTGTTGACACCGCTCAGGTGTGACCTGGAGACCGTGTTGACAATGTTCAGGTGTGACCTGGAGACCGTATTGACACCGCTCAGGTGTGACCTGGAGACCGTGTTGACGGTGTTCAGGTGTGACCTGGAGACCGTGTCGACAGTGTTCAGGTGTGACCTGGAGACCGTGTTGACACCGCTCAGGTGTGACCGGGAGACCGTGTTGACAGTGTTCAGGTGTGACCCGGAGACCGTGTCGACAGTGTTCAGGTGTGACCCGGAGACCGTGTCGACAGTGTTCAGGTGTGACCGGAGACCGTGTTGACAGTGTCAGGTGTGACCGGAGACCGTGTTGACAGTGTTCAGGTGTGACCCGGAGACCGTTGTCGACAGTGTTCAGGTGTGACCCGGAGACCGTGTTGACAGTGTTCAGGTGTGAACCGGAGACAGTGTTGACAGTGTTCAGGTGTGACCGGAGACCGTGTTGACAGTGTTCAGGTGTGACCGGAGACCGTGTTGACAGTGTTCAGGTGTGACCCGGAGGACCGTGTTGACAGTGTTCAGGTGTGACCCGGAGACCGGTGTTGACAGTGTTCAGGTGTGGACCTGGAGACCGTGTTGACAGTGTTCAGGTGTGACCTGGAGACCGTGTTGACAGTGTTCAGGTGTGACCGGAGACCGTGTTGACAGTGTTCAGGTGTGACCCGGAGACCGTGTTGACAGGTTCAGGTGTGACCCGGAGACCGTGTTGACAGTGTTCAGGTGTGACCTGGAGACCGTGTTGACAGTGTTCAGGTGTGACCCGGAGACCGTGTTGACACCGCTCAGGTGTGACCTGGAGACCGTGTCGACAGTGTTCAGGTGTGACCTGGAGACCGTGTTGACAGTGTTCAGGTGTGACCCGGAGACCGTGTTGACAGTGTTCAGGTGTGACCCGGAGACCGTGTTGACAGTGTTCAGGTGTGACCCGGAGACCGTGTTGACACCGCTTAGGTGTGACCTGGAGACCGTGTTGACAGTGTTCAGGTGTGACCCGGAGACCGTGTTGACAGTGTTCAGGTGTGACCTGGAGACCGTGTTGACAGTGTTCAGGTGTGACCCGGAGACCGTGTTGACAGTGTTCAGGTGTGACCCGGAGACCGTGTCGACAGTGTTCAGGTGTGACCCGGAGACCGTGTTGACAGTGTTCAGGTGTGACCCGGAGACCGTGTTGACAGTGTTCAGGTGTGACCCGGAGACCGTGTTGACAGTGTTCAGGTGTGACCCGGAGACCGTGTTGGCAGTGCTCAGGTGTGACCTGGAGACCGTGTTGACAGTGTTCAGGTGTGACCTGGAGACCGTGTCGACAGTGTTCAGGTGTGACCCGGAGACCGTGTTGACAGTGTTCAGGTGTGACCCGGAGACCGTGTCGACAGTGTTCAGGTGTGACCCGGAGACCGTGTTGACAGTGTTCAGGTGTGACCCGGAGACCGTGTTGACAGTGTTCAGGTGTGACCCGGAGACCGTGTTGACAGTGTTCAGGTGTGACCCGGAGACCGTGTTGGCAGTGCTCAGGTGTGACCTGGAGACCGTGTTGACAGTGTTCAGGTGTGACCTGGAGACCGTGTCGACAGTGTTCAGGTGTGACCCGGAGACCGTGTTGACAGTGTTCAGGTGTGACCTGGAGACCGTGTTGACAGTGTTCAGGTGTGACCCGGAGACCGTGTTGACAGTGTTCAGGTGTGACCCGGAGACCGTGTTGGCAGTGCTCAGGTGTGACCCGGAGACCGTGTTGACAGTGTTCAGGTGTGACCCGGAGACCGTGTTGACAGTGTTCAGGTGTGACCTGGAGACCGTGTCGACAGTGTTCAGGTGTGACCCGGAGACCGTGTTGACAGTGTTCAGGTGTGACCTGGAGACCGTGTCGACAGTGTTCAGGTGTGACCCGGAGACCGTGTTGACAGTGTTCAGGTGTGACCTGGAGACCGTGTTGACAGTGTTCAGGTGTGACCTGGAGACCGTGTCGACAGTGTTCAGGTGTGACCCGGAGACCGTGTTGACAGTGTTCAGGTGTGACCTGGAGACCGTGTTGACAGTGTTCAGGTGTGACCCGGAGACCGTGTCGACAGTGTTCAGGTGTGACCTGGAGACCGTGTTGACAGTGTTCAGAGGGCATCGGATCCGGAAGCAGTGGGGTCCGGTGCTGGAGGCCCGGATCAAGGCTACACTCCGGGAGTGCACCACTCCGGCCGAGGCCCAGCGCAGGTCAGGGGCTGACAGGCCCGGCCAGCGCCGGTGTCCCAACGTGCACATAGCCCTGAATCGTCTATCGCGCTTTTCAGGGATGCAGGCTACATTAGCAGGGAACACTGCAGTGGTTAAGACCGAGGTTATTTGACGCACAATCTAATAAGTGCGGCGTGGTCTTATACGCTGTTGATGCATCGAAGTGGAAAGTTAGTGGACAATATCCCAAAATGGTAACAAAATCTTAGCACGTGTCCAGTTGACATGAAATGCGGTGATGTATAATTTCAGTACCGAATGCGCAATGAATCGTTTTGTTTTCAGGCTGACCTTGGTGGGCTTGTCACCAAGCGAAGCGGCTATAATCATTCAGAAATGCTGGAAAAAATCGCGTCGGCTTGGCGTCAAAAAGCAATCATCGAAAGACGAACTGAGCCAGCACGAGAGAAAAGATGAACTCAGGAGCTTTGCAGAGCAGGTATGCATTTTTATTATATATTCTCAACAGGAGTGGGAATTTATAAAATGATTTCATTCCTTTATGGCTTATATAATAATAACGGCATATCCTCGCCAATTATCTGGTTCCGCGATGCGGATGACTGTATTCGCGCTCGCACGTCCACAGCTTACATGCTTGTGTGTCCCTATTCTCACATTTCCATCGGTGTGGGACGGCCATTGACTGCTTGATATTTCCGGCGAAAACCAGCCACTAAAAAAAATCCCTGCAGGGTTAAGAAGCATTTCGCTTTTTCCAGCTGCATGGTAAATCAGTTGTTCGGGCTCTTGCAATAAATGCTAGTAAGGAGCTTCCGGTACGCTACGACTGGTCTGATATTATTATGAACGCCATAAGTTATTCAGTGATGTATAATGCATATCTCATGTATCATATATATATATATATAATATATATATATATATATATATATATATATATATATATGCAATTGTGAGTAGCTGGAATTAACGTCCGTTGCACTGCCGGGTGCGTGTGCAGGTGCACGGGTCAAACTCGGCGGTACACCTGCGGCTGCGGGAAGCACGAGAGCCGGTGCCGACGCCGTCGCCGCCGCCCGCCGGCTACAGTCGACCTGCCGGGTTTGACTTGGTACCGCGCCTGCTCCGGTCAGCCGAGGTAAGTCCACCTGTCAGGTACCGAGGGTGACAGGCACCGTGTAGGACATGCGCTGGGGCCAACGGACAGGGGGCTGGCCGACGCCGGCAATGACAGGGCTCGGTATGGACGGACACTGGGGCTGACAGCCAGGACACTGGGGCTGACAGCCAGGACACTGGGGCTGACAGCCAGCGGGATGGGCGCCCAGTGAGCCGGACAGCAATGTGACGAACGCGGAAGACAGCAGACGACAGTGGGGCCGGCAGACACCTACCACAGCAGGAGTGCACTGCGTCCGAGGGAAAGAAGTGGTCCGTGTCCTCCATCTGGGGAGGTGAGAGCCAAGCCCAGCCGCCTGCGGACTTGCCGCGGCTGGCTGGGCCGACGCCTGCGCGGTCGACAGCCTGTTAGGCTACCTGATGATTGCTGGACTGTCGCGTCCCGCGTCGCCATCCAAAAACAAGTGGCCGGTAACGTGCTGACGCAAAACGGGATTCCCTGGGTCTTTGCGCTCTGCACTAGCTGACCAGTGCGTACACGTCTGACTCTTCGTCTTCCTTCAGGGTGAGCGGGTTGAAAAGCGTGCCGCTTCGGTCTCTCCTTTGCTGCCGCCGCTGAAAATCGTCACGGTCGAAGACGAGCCCGCCAGCAGGTTAGCTAACGCCGAAGCCCAGGTCCCGGCATGCATCCGTCCTTTAAGACTGGTTGTTGACACGGGACTGGGTGGCAGGTTGGACACCCTTAGCTCGGGCTGGGGGTCAGTTTGACCCACCTGAGATCTCAGGAACTAAGAGAGCTAGAAACAAAAAATTAACAGATGCCTTTACCTATACTTAAAGCCACTTGGTTCAAAGTTTGAGGTTCCTAGATCAGGACTTGCGGGTCAAATGAGGTCAAACAAGGTCAAGCTTCAGCCAGGTCTCTAATGCTCCCCAGGAACCGAGATGTCTATTCTAAGTAAAAGGCCACATGCTCATTTAAAGTCATTGACCTTGTTTCACCTTACGAAGGTCATGGTGAACAAATCACACAAAACCGCTATAAGTCTTGCATTCGAATAAGCGACAAAGATGATGCAAGGCAGTATGATCCTAGAACCAAATGTTGACCTGGGCCTTTTTGGTCCACCAACCTATTCTGATCTTTAAGAAGTACTTGGAGAATGCGTAATGCGGTTCCTGTTAACAATAAATTCGAAATGAGCACCAGAAACTATCTCTTAGCGCTAATTGTAGAGTAATAAAGCAGGTTGGTTTTGACTTTGGTGTGACCTTCATGCCTGGCTTTAGTTCACTGAAATGTTTTCATTCAATTGTTATGCTGCCTAAGAAAGTATTTCAGAAATGTATGGCTTCGTCGAACACTCCGTTGTTGCATCAGATTGAACGATTCCTTAGAAATTGACTTCCCTGAATCCATCGCCTGACTGACCTGCCGTAGGACAGTGATCCTACAAGGTACACTCATTTTTTTATAAAAAAACGATCTGCTCTCCAGTCGTCTACAGCTTTACAAAATTTCGCGCGGCTACGCCGTGCCGTTCGGAAACAATTCCGGAAAACCTTCGGGGATCAAATTTATCCCACCCGAGCGCGTGCTAAGTCCATGGACCTAGAGTGAATTCAATGGTTTCCCGACAGTTGCACGGTCCTGACGACCCGTCATTGGATCAGATTGATGCCCGGTGTGATCCTTCTGTTGGACCTGCAAAGCCCGTGGCATTTTGCCTATCAAAAACTGGCGACGGCCCAACACCGTTAGCCAGCAACAAAGTCAGCCAGGGGCGGCCCGTGCTTGGATGTCGATCATAGTCAGGCAGCGCCTCGCAGCGGCCCAAAGGCGACACACCTCATGGCGGCCGGTGCGATATTGGCCCAAGGTCAGGTATTGTCCTGACTTTGACCCGGCCTGACCTGACCCGCGCCAGGTCAGCGTTCCTGGTACGGATGTGCCCCCTCGGGGACAGAGAGCATTCGTTTGGAGAACGTTGGAGACGTGTAAGACACCCACTTACAGCTTTGCTTTTAGGTGGTGTAGTGCATCTCCAAACAAGGAAATTGCAAATCCAATAACACTGTCCAGACTAACACATAGCTGCGATCTACAAGCTGCTCATGATGAACTGCTTTTGTTATTTGTGCTATATGTCCGGAGTCCAGACCGTGCCGATTATTAGGGCTGCTTAAGCTTTTGCCGCAGAAATCTGTCGTTCATTTGGAATTTCGCAATGAGCGGCGGGGGGGGGGGGGGCAGCGCTCACTGTGCATATCCGATAAAATGCGGAGACTGAATAAAACAATGTGTTTCAGTTCGGCCATAGTGCGCGTTGTGTGAACAAGCACCCGAGTAACCAAGCTCGCGCAAGTCATACCATAGCGGTGTGGGTGCGGGGTGAGATCTCCCTTACACTGTCAGAATAGCTGACGGGCGGAGAAGTCGCCGTGCCAGTCAAATTTAGTGATTTCACTGTGAGCGCTGCCTTTGCATGCTGCTGGATGTGCGGAGCCGTAGACGTGCTGCGACGTCCGCCGTCGTGGGTTGTGATATTCGTTCTGAGCGTGTGTGGGTGTGACTGCTGACCTGTCTCTGAGCCGTGCCGTAGGGTGTGACTGTTGACCTGCCTCTGGGCCGTGTCGCGGGGTGTGACTGCTGACCCGTCTCTGAGCCGTGTCACGGGGTGTGACTGCTGACCCGTCTCTGAGCCGTGTCGCGGGGTGTGTCGGCGCAGCTCTGAGAGACCGACCCGAGCCTGTCCGGACTGGGACCAGCCCCTGCGGCGGTATGAGGCGGACCACAAGCTCCAGTCGCTGCCCGGGTGAGGCCTGGGCGCTGCGCCGCCGGGGCGGAGCCTCCGCCTCCCGTTGGGAGCCGTAGGAACCCTCCCCGCAGCAGCCCTCCAGCAGCAGCCCTCCAACAGCAGCCCTCCCCGCAGCAGCCCTCCAGCAGCAGCCCTCCAGCAGTAGCCCTCCAGCAGCAGCCCTCCAGCAGCAGCCCTCCAGCAGTAGAGAAGTTTCGGTTATTTGACGTATAACAGAATATCAGCACCAGCAGAGCATACCGACTTCAGCTGACAGCCTCTGGACACCATCATCAGGAATGGAGCATTTTGCACTCCAGTGTTGTGCACAGAGATGCCACGGCCCAGCTGCGCATGCGCATCACAAGCGGTCGGTTGTACAGCTGCCGGTAGCTATTTGAGAAGTTGTTACACGTGTAGACATTCGCATCAGCCGGGCCGTTCTCCACATTTTTCCCCGCATGCGTTGATTGCTTAGTTACATCTGTGTGCGGCGTTATACGCCACTTCTTCTCCGCACCCGAAAGTTTGGAATCATCGACATCGGTATATGAATTCGGTGCACGAGAGGCCTTCAGTGACCACATTTCGATACGCTGATTCCTGGTGAAGTGGCATGCCAGCTAGTCATGGACGTTCAGAATGTGACGGTGTCCTCGCCGTAGCCAATGGGGTTGTCCGTAGGTAGCTGGATGTGACTGAGTGAGTGACTGAATATCAACGAATGAATGAATGTAATCTCTGTCAGTTTGACAGGCGTAGAGTTATGCTTGCCTTCTGGTGTGACTAGTTTTTAGTTTGGTTCAGTGAAGGATGCCGGCTGTGCACCCGATGCTGATGTGCTCATTAGAACCATTGGCATAACTTAATACCTGTCATACCTGTCATATGGTGCTCTTTCCAAGTGCCTTTTAGTCATGGTTAATAGTTTGATATTATGGACACACTATGTAAATTAAACACGCAAGAGTATCGGAACTACCCTGCCACCACCATTCGAATGCTGCAAGAGTATCGGAACTACCCTGCCACCACCATTCGTACGTTGCAAGAGTATCGGAACTACCCTGCCACCACCATTCGTATGCTGCAAGAGTATCGGAACTACCCTGCCACCACCGTTCGTATGCTGTAAGAGCATCGAAACTACCCTGCCATCACCTTTCGTATGCTGCAAGAGTATCGGAACCACCCTGCCACCACAGTTTGTGTGCTGGAAGAGTATCGGAACTACCCTGCCATCACCGTTCGCATGCCGCAAGATCGTGGGTGGATTGATGTTTTTTCGTACCTTTAGGGTATTCTGGTGTTATTTCAGAATACGGGAGGAGCGTTGTAATGGTCGACACGCTTCTAGTCCGTGCACATCACAATGGGGTATTGCCGTGATACACGGTGCCCATTGTATATGTCCCTTAATGTATCGTGATGCGCATCGTCCACTGTATCTCGGCTTTAGGTACGCCTGTTCGCATATTGCATTGGTTCCGGTACATCGGTACATCGGAGAGCCTGCATGATGTCTCGGAATGGTTTGGACTGCGTGATACCCAGCTCATGTTACCGATGTGGCAATGCAGCTGGGTCCTCTGACGCTTGGCACATGCGCCTAATGTGCTGCTTGGCACAGTTTGATCGGCGGCTTACGGGCCGGAGGCGGCGGCTCCTCCATTTCCACCTGACCAGCGGACCACTGACCTGCTTTACCCGGTGGTCCCGTATAACGATTTGACCTCAATGAGCCATGTGCATCTAAGCGGCCCGTTGGACGCGAGGTGACCGGCTGCCCAGGCAGCCGTCCGTCTGGATTAAGCCGCGCCATCCACTTGACGTCACGTGACCGGTGGCGCAGGGAGCCGCCGGCCGAGGTGGACCTGCGGGAGGCCCGCCTGAGCGTCATCTCCGGGGGACTCAAGTCGCAGGCCAGGGACACGACGGAGCGGCGCGACTCCCTGGTGGCCGTTTTCCAGGTGAGGGTCGTTGCCTACCTGAGCCGCGGTCTCGCCCGGCCGCCGGGACTGCCGACGGCGAGCCGCAGCGGAGGGTGCTCGAGACGTTGTCAGGCCGTGGTGCGGTCTGACGAGGCAGCAGCGGTATCCTGCGACACAGCGCCAGCCTGGCTAACTAAAACGGAACGAAAAAATACTCTGCGAGCATCTAGTCGGCCCAGATGCATTTTCCTCGTGCATTTATCGCGCATTGTAGATAATGAGCAGCATCTCATTGAGTGCTGACACTGCGTAGTTGCCTAAAGCAGTGCCGCGGCAGTGCACTCCTCCAGAACAGGCATCGCCCAGCGACCTCGGGCAATGCTGGCTAAGTACTCTTACAATCAGCTTCACTCACCGCACCCACTCGGCGGCCGCCGCCACCACGCCGTGATGACCCTGGACGCCACTCTAGCCCGTCGGCGCCGCGTCGCATGACCCCGCGACCCCGTGACCGTTGATGACCTCGGCGGACCTGGGCGCGACAGGACGCGGTGCGGCGGGCCAGCTCGCCCGACCCTGCCCTCGGCGCCAGTCCCGTGCCGAAGAAGGTGCTCCGGCCGCCCGTGCTACCGGACGCCTGGCAGGCAGAGCAGGAGAAAACGTGAGCGTGGCGCGAGCCGGGCGTGCCGGGGGACGGAGAGGCTGGGCAAACCAGCCCGGCCGCCGTGCACATATGGGCTGATCAAGGTCGTTGAGTAGTGCTACTTCTGTGCCGGGGTGCTCTTGCGGCTGTGTGCTGGATCCAGACCGCAGGGATTATGCCAGATTCTGATCATGGCAGGTTTCCATTCCCGGAAAAGATGGTTGGCTCATTAGGTCGTTCGTGGCTGGGTATGGAAAAACCCGGCATTGTTCCCGTCCTAGCATGCGAGTATCATCATTGGGCGATCGTAAAATTGACAAAACAGCAGACATTTCTGTCATTCGCATTGCTAAATGGACTCGAGACGGGCTCAATGCCTTGCACTTAAGTCGATACTGGATTTGACACTGTCGCCTGTCTCTGCGGCCGCCCGTGTCCGATAAGGCTATGTGACCAGAAGGCGCGCGCGCGGGCTGTTGCAGACGTCTGGAGGCGAGGCGGGCCGGCTCGCCGCGGGCCGGCGCCGTCTCCTCGGGCCGGCCGGAGGTCTCGCCGCCGCCGCCACGCGCCCGCCTGCTGGCGCCGGCCGAGCCCAGCCAGCCAGCCGGCGGCGACGTGGGCCCCTACAACTTCCGGCAGCTGCTGCGGCCGGCTGGACATGCGCCAACCGAAAGCCTCCGGCTGCGGCGTGGCTGGGGCTCGCGGCCCGGCGTCAACCGCTACGGCGCCGAGTACGACATGTGATGCCGGCTGGGCGGCCTCGGCGACGAGCCACTGGCGCCGCCGGCCGCGGTGGGTGGTACCCTCCTGGCGGCCCCAGAAGCCTCATGGTCGTGGGGTCGAGGGTCCAGCGCTGCGGCGGCCGGCTGCGGTGGTGGCGCCCCGGCAGGGTGGGCGGTAGTTCTGGCGGTGTGGCCCAGTGATCACTCCTTTAGCCACGGCTGTTATTCGTAGGCGATGCGTATGCAATAATCGTGTGTAGGTCCAGTCCCCTGCTTTTGTTTCGCAGAGTGGCCTTGATTGCTTGACAGTGTTTGCGTTGCGTTTGCTGGGAAACTTATTCGTGCACGTATCCGTGATTTCGCACTGGCAAACAACCACGATTCCCCTGAAAATGGCGTGTTGTTCAGAAAACGGTGGCTGGCAGGCGAATATGCCGTCGTGTCGGTGTGAGTTGATCCGTTTTTGTAGGTTGATTTGCACGATGTTGTTCATTTTTGTCATGTTATCCCGCGCTTTAGCTCTTTTTTAGTGCGTTTCCGTTACCGTTCTGGATGCTATACCAAAGCGCATGAATATCGGCATCGTCTTAATGCACCCCGTGCCAACTTTCTGCCTTCGCCGCGGAACAGCCGCCGGCGCGCGATGGCCTGGCCCCTATGCGAACGATACTTCCGTGGGACCGGAAATTATTGCATTGTAAACAATAGACCACACAGGTATCATACCAGTGTTTGGTGTCATTGTCAATGTCAGTGGTTCGCTGTCCGTCACTTGACCGAGACTGGTCATATTCGGGCACATAGTACAGTTTTATTCGCCAGGTCTTCTTCGTAGCTGGCGCCTCTCTCATAGGCCGGCCGAAGCCCTGTACAAAAACACGCCCCCACAGCCGTAGTCGTCATACGAGTTGATATGATCCCACGCTGCGTCGAGACATGCCGGGACGTGTCGGGACGTGCCGGGACGTACCGGGACGTACCGGGACGTGCCGGGTGGCCCCGGGACGTGCCGGCACTCAGCCGGCTGGTCGCCGGGCCGATGCGGCCACAAGAGGTATGCACAGATGGGTGAATGATTGGATGAGGCTGATTGATGATATCACACATGGCCGCGGCCGGCGGCCGGGCGCGGAGGCCGAGTCGCCCGGGTCAGCGCCCTCCGGGCCTCGGTCTCCCGGCCCCACGCTGCCGGCGCCATCGCAACAAATACAACAACACACGGCCGCGGCCGCCGCAGCAAACAACGCAGTGCCGGCGCGTAAATGGTAACTAGCTACTGGTCCTTAAAACGACTGGTGTGGCGGCCGGCGGCACGCGGCGTCGCCTCTCAGACCCAGTACCTCTGCCTGGCGGCGAGCCGGAGCCAGGCGTGATCGGCGGCCCTAACCCCACTGACGCCGAGTTGGCACATGACATGAAGCAGGAAACACGCCACGCGCCGGAGACGTTAAACATTAGAAAAATAGTGGTCACGCAGCACTTAATGGTGGCGATGGCGAACTCTTCTATTCACTCGAGCATTCTGCTGACATATTCACTCGGCGTTTAGACGAACCCCCCCCCCCCCCTCCCCCTCTCCCTCTCTCTCTGTCTCTCTTTCCTTGTGCCGCATCGGCAGTGCCGGTGAGAACAGCGTCACCGCGGCTCGGCTAACCTGTCGGGTTAAGACACCTGCGCAGCGCCGACAGGTCCACGCGCAGTCCTACCGCCGACACAGGGCCGACAGGCCCACGCGCAGTCCTACCGCCGACACAGGGCCGACAGGCGGTCCAAGCCGGCTCGCGCAGCCACCAGGAGGAGCAGCCAACGTCGCAACGTCGCCCGGCCGCGACGGCTCAGGCGATGTGCCATGCGCCGGCCGCAGGGACCGCGCGCCGGTCCCCGAGCCGGGCGCTGCGTCGGGTCAGCCGCCGGCGCGGCGGGTTTCGCAGTTCGCCCGGTGGAGGACGTCGGCTCCCCGCGCGGGACGCGGCCGGCGGCGGCGTCAGTGGGTCGGCGTCCGGAAGAAGCGCAACACCACGTAGCCCAGCGTGCGGAACACGACCATGAAAGCCAGCAGAGCAGCCATGTTGAGCCAGAAAGGCAGCTGGCCGCCGCGTCGGCCCAGCAGCTCGTCCAGGGCGATGTGGGTTGAGTTGCCCGACACGCAGCTATCGAACTTGGAGTTCTCGGCGGCGCACCTGCAGAACGTCAGACAGGTCAGACGGCTCAGACGGCGCACAAGCGCGCACGCGCACACACCCTGGTCATATAGCATCACGTGGCGGTCACAAGAGGTCACGTGGTCAAGTCACACCAACCAGAGGAGCCGCCGGGACAGCGAGAGCTTTGGGTGTTCTGGAACAGCTTCAGATTGATGCAATTCAGATCAGATTCAGATCAGATTCAGATCAGATCGGTGCAACTGGCCAATTCATTACTTGAGCATGTCAGCAGTACTCGTAAAATGTTAAAACACCGCCAAAGCAACGCATGTATGAGGCAGCAGCTACTACATTGTGTCCCAAAAGACCCGTGTTGATGGCACTTCTGATAAGTCTATTCCGGCTTCAATCCACAATTCATGGAGCTCATTCCGAGTACAAATAAATGCACAACACAGTTTTGAGTCGGCTCCGATGGGGAGTGTGAGGACAAATTTAGGGTTCGACTCCGACAGCATCAGCTACGATGGGAATAGTAAAGATGTCGAGACTCTAGTAATGACGCAATTGTATGGTCCCATTGAGCGGTAATTACAACATTGCTTTATTGTTACTATAGATTGACATGATTTATTGCTGTATATTGTAATGGCCTATTACTGTATGTTGTCCTGGCTTCTTACGATAATATTACTTTTACATATTTCATCTAACCGTTGGTAGCTTTGGCTAAAATCGATGTCACCGACTCAACCAAGCTCCATTTCGCTCAATCAAGCTCAATCACCTCCATTTCGACTGAAATGAATCGGTTCGTTTCTGGGTCGATTCAGACCGCATCTGGATTTCAGCACAAGTCTGCACTCACACAATCTGTGTAATGTCAGGAAGCGTGCCATGCCATGCTGGCACTTTTCCTCGCTCTACCAAGCTCCGTTGAGCGGCCCGGCAATGACCGGCGGAAGCATGGGCAGTTTGCCGGCCGCGTGACTGAGCACAGCCACTCGGCCCTTCCGTCCGGCCTACGGCGAATCGGAGTCAGCTGACTGGTCTCCCAGCATGTGGAGCGACGCTCACGGAGAAAACTCACCTGAAGGCCGGCCCGTTGCTGAACTCGACGATCTGCATGTTCTGGTAGGCGTAGAAGACCATGGAGAGGTACCGCATCCAGCTCAGCCAGCTGGGGATGTGCGTGGAGAGGAAGCCGCCAAACAGCTGGGTGCCGCACGTGAAGATGGCGCCCACCGTGTTGCCCACCTGGAAGTCCATGCAGGCCACGCCGAAGAACACGCCGACGCTCTGCAACAGGTGCAGGCCACCGGCTGTCGGAGCATGGCCTCGGCTGGGCACCCCGGCGCCCGGTGACCTTCAAAAGCTCCCCTCTGCGGATTACCGTGGCGGGAGCCGGGAGCCGTTTGCTCCTGTGCAGAAGTATAGGCATGCAAATCCAGGGAATTTCACCCGCACGGCACGCAAGCCATCTCCATATCCAGCCTCATCCGCAAGAAACACACCCTATTCAGCTAAGCCCCTCCCCATCAATCTGACCTCACCTTCCTCCGTCCGAGAGGGTCCATCTCCCCGTCCCCCCCCCCCCCCCCACCGCCAGGCCACTCACCTCTGCCACCACACTGTTGAGCAGCAGAAAGAGCAGCAGCTGGACGAAGGCCACCGGCGACCGACAGCCCATCATCGGGTACGAGATGACGAAGTAGAGCAGCGGCGGCACCACCAGCAGCGGCAGCTCACCGAACATGCGCGCCAGGTAGTACGCGGAGAGGCGGTACGAGCCGGACGCTCGCTCCTTGTTCACCACCTTCTGCTGCGATGGAACTGGAAGGCCGAGATCGGCAGAGTCAGACGACAGGTGCCAACGCCGACAGATGGGGAGAGCACAGCAGGCTGTGCCCAAGCTGGGTTGTCATCGAGCTCTGCTATCCTTTGACCTGGTAATAAGTTCGGATTCAGCTCAGCTTGCACTTGGGATCACTGCTTTTCGGCCTCGTGATCAAATCTTCAGACTGATCACTGATTATGACGTCGGCCTCATGATCAAATCTTCAGACTCATGATGAATGGGTCCACACGCGTCAGCTAACATAGCCCGTGACAAGGTCAGCGGCGCTCGACTAAACGCGTCGCCAGCTGCCAACATGACGGCGCAGGAGTCCCAGCCCTCAGGCCGAGGGTGTCACCCCTTAGACGAGGAGTCCGCCCCCAGCACACCAGGCGCGGTAGCGGGGGCTCTCACAGGCAAACAGGGCGCCGAATAGCGAGAAGAGCATCCAGTAGTTGGTGGAGAAGAAGATCCAGCCCTGGAAGTCGGCGATGCTCTCCTCGTTGCGCTCGGTCTGGAACCAGACCAGACCGGCCAGCAGGGCGAGCACCACCGTCAGCACCAGGTTCAGCCGGCTCAGCACACGAGGGCACGCCTCCTGGAAGTTCCGCGCCGTCAGCACCTGCCGAAGGAAAAGATGCAGACGTCACTGGGTGACGTTACGGGCAGGGGTGACGTCACGCCAGTCAGATGGGCGTCGCCAGGACAAGCTCAGGTCGACCCGGTCAGGTCGGTCACGCCCGGGTCAGCGGCACGGCCATGATGAGCAGCCGACCATGACGCTCCCGAGGGCGGAATGCTCGGGACGGAGCCTCCTCTGACGTCAGTCGAAAGGACCGCCAGCCCGTGACAGACCGCGGTCAGAGCAGGCGCCTCTGCGAGGCCAGGACGCGTTGTGAGGCAGCAGGCGCTGAGTGCTGAGTGCTGACCCAACCGGCTCCTGAAGCCCCCTCCCCCCCCCCTCCCTGCCGTCCGTACCCTCAGCTCCGGTCGGGGCGACCGGCAGCTGGCGACGCACCTTGAACTGAGTCCAGAAGCAGGTGGGCCACCGATCGGTGAAGTACTCCTCGTCGGAGCCCTGGCTGTGCGTGTCGTTGGACCAGGTGGACGTTCCGCTGTCCTGGTCGTTGCCCGCCGCGTCTGTGAAGAAAAGCAGCCGGTCAAGTAGCGGAAAATCACTGAGGTAAACACAAAACGGTCGATCGCCGCACCAAGTCACATAATGGGTGTGTCGGGGTAGCTTGTGACTTACTTAGCTTCAGACCATGTTCCGAATCTTCTATGAGGATGTGTAGCTCCGACACGTTGCTGTTTCGGCAGTTGTTGCACCGCTTTACTACGGATTCCGAGCCACTTTTGCCGTTTTCTGACCGACTAAGTTTTTGTCCACATCCGCATAAAGGTTTCGCCGAATCTGAAAAGTCATTGATGTGACAAAATTGGGCCGGATTAGCATTACAAATGCATAGGAAACAAGCCTCGGGAGTTATGCTGGAATTATTTGGAACGAATCAGTCCATATCATTGATAGTGATACGAATGATAATGATCTGGAACGAACTGACCAGTGAGAAACAGAATTCGAGCAAACAAAAGTACAAAAATGCAGCGTTGGACGCCACCAACATAGCAAGTACAAAAAGGAGGAAAACATCCAACCAACAACCGCGTCCGTCTAACAGATGACGTGCGATGCCAATGGGGATACACCTGCGCTTGACTCCGAGCGGGGTCAAGACAAGTCAAGCACGATCGCTTGCAAGTCTGCCTCGCGTAATACCATCTTGTGGAACTATCTTGCTGCGAAACGCAATGTCTCACGTATGCTTTTATGAAAACTACATAGCATGTTGTCCACAAAGCAAAGTCGTCGCCACAACAATCCATCGGAATCCATCGGAACCGACTTGGGAGGTAGGACACTTTTCTTCGAATCTGAATCGGCACCGACTCAAAGTTTTGCTGTGCGGATAGGAGTCAAATCAATGCTAGGACTGCGCAGATAGCCTGGGGCCGCCTGGCTACCCGAGCTTCCTCAACTGACCGCTGGTGTCGCTGCGGTCGGCTGCGCATGGGGATGAATAGAGACTGCAGGTACTGGAGTAGGGCGTATCCAACGCCAGCTGAGCCTTGGCGTGCATGCCCGCCGCTGCCACCAAGATCTTCTGCAAGCTCTCCTCAGTGGTCTTCAGCTGCTCCACTGGAACATTCAGTTCAGTCGTAAACAAGGTCCCTCACGGGAAAATACGTTATTTTACGATAAGAATAGTGTGTCTGCAGTACGGACATACAGATGGACAGACAGACAGACTCTGTGCATACTGGTCAAAAAGTAGTAAAAGGGTAATATTTTTATTTCCGTGCAGCTTTAGTAGCATTTCCTTAGAGTTCCAGTGAGCTGTTAAAAATATATATTTGTCGTTGGAAAGACGACGAGTGTTCATTTGAACTCCGGCTTGTGGTCCACAGACTCGTTCTGTCTCTGCAAAGGCACACCACATGATATGAAATGAGTAAGGTAGACCCCTTTTAACCTCCCAACGTGCCTGGGAAAGCACCATCCTTCGAGTGCAAAATATCACAATTTTGGTAATTTCAGTACACATCGGTACGGCACGTGCCGGGCCTGACCATCACGTTGCATCCTCCTCCTCAGCCCACAAGCTGCTCATGCACCGTTTGGGCCAGATTACCTGCACAACTGCGCGGCTGTATCAGCACACTGCACGGGTACACGTTGTCCCATCAGACAGAGCAGAGAGCGGTGATGCCCCGCACCCTCCCGCCGCCGGCGAGCGGCACTCACTGATGAAGTCCGCTGGATTGTAGTGCTGCTGGATGACCAGACCAAGGCCGCTGAAGTGGTTCACGACGTTGCCCACCTCGCCGAAGTAGGCCGTCTGCAGCACACACGGAGCCAGCCAATAAGCGGTGAGCCCGATCGTGCGTCATTTCCAGCCAAACTCACCGCGCTACCGTCCGAGGATGGACGACACAGCGTGGTGCCTACGGCCACGCATGTCCAATGGAATTCGAGTCGCAATACGCCCATGCTCTCCACCCCAGCCTCCAACACCTCTGGCACACCGGTCGCGCGGTGGCGTCCGTCAGCCTCAGGTGGCGTCGGGGCGCTTTTTTGCAGCGTCGCGACTCGCCGCACACCGGCGGCCGCGCCGTTCGCAGGCAAGCAGGCTGTGTATGCGGCGCGTTCAATCCATCAATTTTTTACTTTCATCAGCCGCGCTAGCCAGACGGTGCCGAAAAAAGCACGAAAAAACGCCTCCGGCGCGTGACTATTGTTGTTCCACCGATAAAAAACGCCAGGCGAGAGGTTTTTGTGCCGACGGAGCCCGTCGGCGGAGGTCAGGAACCCGGGAGCGCTTCGGGTTGGGAGGGGGGCCGGGTGGGGGAGGGGGGGATGAGGCGGGACAGACCAAGGCGGTTAGTGACAGACATTGGTGCAGCCATGTCATGAAGATGTCACGGTCGAGATTGTTGTATATTGCCCCGCAGCATAACCTACCTCAAGCCAGCTACAAAACATGCACGCGACGAACACGTTTAGCGCGACGAGCACGGCTGTCAAACCATGCGCCCGCACCGCGTTAACAAGGTAGTGATGAGCTAACTGCCTTTGGCAAAAGACAACAATACACCCAGAAAGTTGCCCATCGTGTGCGAATGCCCACCTGCCCATTGCAGAGGAGCAGCAGCTTGTCAAACATGTAGAACACCTGCGAGGACGGCTGGTGGACGGTCAGCACGATGGTCTTGCGCTCCTTGATGGCGTAGTCCTTGAGGTTCTTGATGAGGCTGTAGGTCGCGCTCGAGTCTAGTCCCGTACTCGGCTCCTGGGCAGCAACCGTTTAGTGAGCAATGGCGATGTACCTAACGCAGAAACCTAGTCTAGACAGGCTGTCTTAATCAGGAGCGACCATGTCCGAAACACCGAGTCAAACCATGAACAGGATGGGCACGCGGCCCGAACACCATGCCTTGGCAGCCCAAATACCATGCCCAGGCAGTCTGAACGCTGTGAATGTTCGGTATTGGCCCGCAGTGCATTTGCCACTTCCCAGCCCGGAAAAGTTCACCGCGACACTGGGACTGTCGTCCGGCCAGGTGTTGTTTCTCGTACTTCGAGCTACTCCGGATGCTTCGTGCTGAGCCCTGGCACGTCTTTAGCATTGTCAACGAAGGCTAATGTGCTACCGGCGGAGCATGGGTTACCATCTAGGCGTCACTAGTTTTCCACAGGTCAACTGCAGTGAGAGCGCGCATCAGCACTGTGCCGCCTTCCGAACAACTCCGTCCTCGCAGAGTTTGACGTCGCCCACACACGCTAAAATGGAACCCCGATATTTCAGTAGCAGTGACTGACAGTGTCGGCCACTGGACGGCGTCCTGCTCGGTATTGCGTGCGTCAGCGGCGTCATCGGCAAGGTGCACTGCATGTTAATGCTTACATCCAGGAGCATGAGGGCCGGGTTGGTGAGCAGCTCACAGCCGATGTTGGCCCGTTTCTTCTCCCCGCCTGACAGACCGCCCCTCATGTACTCGCCGATCTCTGGGGAAAAAGCAACGAGGTTTTACGGCGGTGGGGGGATCGTCATTCGCTTCAATGCAAGCCCACTTCTGGGTAGGAGAGCGGGGTTTCTGATGCAGCAGTGCATCTTCTGGCTGGTAGAGCGGGGTTTCTGATGCAGCAGTGCATTTCTGGCTGGGAGAGCGGGGATTCTGATGCATCAGTGCATCTTCTGGCTAGGAGAGCGGGGTTTCTGATGCAGCAGTGCATCTAGCCCTCCAGGCATAGCGGATAGCTCAGTATTTTTTATTATGTTTCGGGTCTCATAACTCACAGGTATTGGCCTCGTCGCGTTCTCGATCATCACTTCTAACACTCGGAAAATAAAAGGGATATTAACATTCCGCATTAGCACAATGTTGCAGGGGCCCTAATACAACACAGGTGCAGCCAAATGTCGAAAGTAATCGAAGCTATTAGCCATGTGACGTCCCACCTCAAGCATCTTCAGTGGAATCTTGTTTACCTGCAAACGGTATAATCTAGACACGCGTGACGCGTCGGACATCAAGGCATTCTCATAAACGGCTGTGATGTCAGTCAGTTGACACAGGTGTCTTCTTGTGTTCTGGTGATTCGAAAGTGGCGCTGACGCTCAGCACCGTGTGTCATTGTAACAAAAGTGGCATGAACATTTGCTCGGCCTGTTCTAGCGACATATTTTCCAAGACTCTTCGCTAATACCCAGCGCCAGACTTCACTACCGCAGCGCGATAAGATGAGAATGGAAAAATTAGCCGGAAAGCATAACCGATCTGCTTTGCTGGAATGCGCACCGCACAAAGTCACGGTGGTGATATTGTAGGAGACTTAAATTACATCAGGGTCAGCAGCCCCAAGCCCAACGTGTGACGCACTCACGGCAGTTCTGAGAACGGTACTTATTACATGACTGTTCTCAGAAGCGCTCTCTTGAGCGAGTGGAATCGCCGAAAAAAAAACGAGACAGGATGGTATAAAAAGGAGAGTAAATCGAACGGGGGTAGCAAAAACGTCCCAGACTTGGTCGATTGGTCTGTCGCCCCTGCCCCCGGCGGCGAACCTGAGCGAGGCTTATCGTCGGCAGCATTGATAACATTGTTGGTGCAGAACAGTTAGCGGACACAGTTTTTGCTTCCCAGAAAAAGCCGAACAAAAAGCCCGGCACCCCGTCGGTTTGCCCCCGCCGCACAAAAAGCCAGCGAGACACAGAAAAACAACCATTTGCTTGCTGCCAGCCAAGGTCAAAGCCAACCCACCGAAATGGCGATCGGAAATTCCTGCCGGGCGCTTTCATCACTTCTTCACTTGCACAAAAACTGTCTTGGATGTCCGCCCGCGGCCCGGACCAGCGGTGCTAATTGGATTACGTCTTCCAGCACGTGACTGACGTCATCATAATAAAGACAAGGTGAATCAGCTGTGAGGTTCGTGCGCGCTGGTCGCATCTTATTGGTGCCCCACATTTGAACTATTTAAGAAAGCTCACTCTCTCACCATGTCTCCTCTTTCTCTCCCCTTTCTTCCACTGGTCTTGCATTTTATTCACTCAAGCCTGTGGCAATTTTGCAGTTGAAGTCAGTGAGTTATCTACGGGAAACAATTTCCAATCTGTTTAGCCTTACAGCAGTGCACGTCTTTAAACCGAAAGTGTTATGTTGTCCACGTGTTTGCTGTTCTCCAACGTATCACTTATAGTCCACGACCGTGCGATGCACTTCAGCGTTCTGAATGCATTGACTAAAACCTTTTCAAAGCTGAATCATCTCTAAAATAGGAAAGTACGAACTTCTAAATGTGGCTTTTACCAACCGGTTCACAAAAACGGAAATATCCCATGTCATAAGCACGCAGTTTTCACGAGAACTTCGAGAGGCTCCCTATCAGATGAACGTTACTTCGTCCCTCTCTTGTTTAGCATACACACTTCGTCACTCTCTGGTTTAGCATACATTGGTGTGACCCCAAACCCATCCGAAGGAAGCATTGGCTAACGTATTCGCTTCTTTCACGACGGGGTACTCACGGGTGTCTTGACAGCGCGTCAGATCCAGCGTGGTGATGATGTGGTCCACGTGGCGCACCTTCTCCGCGTGGGTCAGCGTGTCAGGCAGCCGCAGCTGGGCCGAGTACTGAAACCAGGGCATTCGATCGTGGCCACACCGTTATGGTGGCATTCGATCGTGGCCACACCGTCATGGCGGCATTCGATCGTGGCCAATTGCTGTGCACAGCGTCGCGTTTCACTCCACCGAGGGCGACTGAAACGCATAGGATTCAGCACGACACGAGTGCACCGATCAGCTGGATGTGAAGCCACCAGTAATGGCCTGCATTCGAAGAACCAAGAGCAACAGCCAGCCACAGCGCCGAGCGTGCATTCGCAGCATTCCACCACAGCCTATCATCAGCACGGCATTCCGGCACGATCCTTCCCAGAACGCCTTGATAAACTGCAACCCCGTGACGCCCGGACGCTAAGGTCAAGGGCGCCGGCTGCCACGCCTCGCCGAGCCCCCCGGCAGCGTAAACAAGCGAGCGAGTTTGCCAATGGCTCCCCACCGCTCCGGCGTCTGGCGTTTCGTTGAAAATGACCGGCAGGGCCGGAGACCGCCGGTGTCATCTCACTGACGGGTGACACCGTGTGTCGGAAGAGCCAGAGGCGAGCAATATTCTCTAAAGGAAGCTTTGGAGCCGTAGCTGTGTACCCGATCGGTGATCAGCGGGAGGGATGTAAAATAATAAATGCGTCAACGCAAAAACGAGCACGAACTAGACATTGCCTGCCCCCTGATATCGTCCGAAGTTCGCTACTGCTCATTCCATGGAGCGAGCAGGAGGGGATCTCCAGCGGACCAGGAGCGGCATGACCTTGACAAGTACCGGAGGTCACGCCTGCCATGACCTTTGCACACGCGGCGCTATTCATCGCGGTGGCGAGCGGCTTGCTGAGTGTTTCCGGCCAGAGCCAGGGCCGGCGCCGGCGCCAAACGAAGTGACGAATGGCTGCGGCGGCAACGGCCACGGCCGCTTCCAGCCAGCCCGGGCCGCGGGTATGCGGATTCCCTCATTGCGCGGTTGCGGGACTACCCAACCGCAGGCGAGCCGGGAGAACCACATTGCCCCTCTCTGACCCTGGCCCAGGGTAAACACGAAATGTACGCAACGGATTGACGTGTTTAAATATTGTTGTGAGATTTGCGGTCCTCACAAAAGTGTAGACCGCTTAGAGGAGAATGGAACATTTGGTACGCTCAGGGAATCAAAGTTATTAGACAAAGCAAAAGATGCGATTTAAAAAAAGTAGAGAAATAAAAGATTAGACCGTTCTGTTCCCACTGATAGATATGAGAGAAACGAGATTTCATCCATCTGAAGTAGTCCGCCTCCGCCTGCTTTGCTCATGTCGGGGCTTCGGTGTTTCCTTGCAGCCTTGCCTTCGCCTGCTATGAGGGAAGTACCAGTAACCCCCCGGGCTACCAGCGCCCTTGAATAACTAATAGGCACATCAGCCACGGATGAATGGCAACACGGTTGTACAACTGCAAACGATGCAGCTGCGGTGACACGCCCTCTGACGTCAGAGGCACAGACAGATCAGACGCTGCCAGCGGTCTTCGGAGCATCGGGACCGGACCAGCTGATGACGTAATAGTGAGCCGCTCCGAGTGTGCGTTATATTGACGTTTTGCTTGTTTGGCGTACCTGCCCGGATAGCGAACGTGAAAACGCGCGAGAACAGGGTTGCAGCAGTTCTCTGCTTCTGTCGAATGGCAGTAAAGGGACCAGCTATTGTCAAGATGTACACGACTGATATATTATATTCAATTGGCTTTGTGGATAATTCATGCCGGGTGGGCAATGACAACGAAGCCGCGCGGATCAGTCAACACATGAAGACAAAAGGTCTTCAGAAAAAATGTTTTCGAATTAAACACAGGCGAAGCTCCACAGGTCAGACACAGCAAGTTGTGGCATACTCTTCCAATTCATTTTGCGTCCTTATTTTTGCAAAAGGTCCTTCCTTTAGCTATAGGAATTCTATTAAACTGGCCTTCGTACGGCCAATTATGGAAGGCGGGCACGCAGCACTGGTAGGTGCTTCCACAGCAGCAGTGCTCCAGTCCGTAACGTCGTGCACGGAGAAACAGCGCAGAAGTGGCAGCATCTCATCTGCTCGGAGATGGGGAGGCTGAAAGGCCGCCTACTGAAAGCCAGATATTTGCCTCGTTCCAAGAAGGCACAATGGACAACGTCCTTGGAAAGCTCCATCCTTTTACATGGGGTATCGAACCAATGTAGCCAGACAAACTACGCTGTGAGAAGAGCACGGGTACATTCTGCGTTAAGTTCCAACCATTTTTACGTCTTGAGTTTTGAGTCAAGTGGTCCAATTGACTAAGTCCGTATTCGGATTCGCTTTCAGCTGGAACGTGACGTCATCAGCGATGACGTCACGCGGCGGAGAAGGAACGCCACTCGGAGCGGCACTTCGGAATAAATTTGGAGTCGATCTCTGCCACCAGCACCACAACGACATGGCACTGCGATGTGCCGACTGCAGAAAGCCGATGTGTGACGTCAGCCTATCCAATGCCCGCCGTCATTTACGAGATGACATGATGCGAACCAATTTCTTCTTGTTCGAAAGTCGTCTTCTCCCCGACGCTCGGAGGCGACTGCGCAGGTGTGCGGAGCAGCAGCTCAGAGCGCGCGTCCTGCCGGTGCCCGGCCCTGCAGCTCGCCGGGGCCGTATTGCATCAGATGTGGGCCAGCGCGCGGCGGTGTTGCGCGGCTGCGGGGCTCGGGCAGGGCCTGCGGTTTGCCCGGCCCCGGCCGCGCCGTCAGCGGGGAAAGCCGAGCTGGCGGCGACGATTGGCTGGCTGGGCGCATTGTGCGTATGTGCGTGCGCGGGGTCGAGTCGTGCAGTTTGGAACGGCGGAGGGAGCTAGCGCTTTTGGAACAATGCCAAGCTTGAATTGCTCGTTTGTGAGTCTGCGAACGCGTGTACGTGGGTAGGGGTAGAGGGAACCTGAGGGCTGTTCTTGTGCTTTGAGCAGTCAGGTACAAAAAAAACACGCATCTCACCACTTTGTTGATCCAAACACTGTACCGATCACTCGCGGCGGAGAGCCGTGACGGTTTAGACGGGACTCCGTAGTACGGTGGCATTAAGGCTCAGTCGCATTGCACAGACCGTCCAGTCGCAATAACGCGACGAAAAGAGCCAACCAACCGTAATGTGGTGCTACCTGCCATGCACTGTGTGTGCGACCCAGCCTGATGTTGATATGTGTCTGACCCAATGCTTGACACCTATCACGGCCTGTAGCAGAGGCGACTCACGGGCGGCTGCAGTAGCAAAACCGGTCTGCGTGCGGCCGGCGCAACGCAGAACGCACTAAGTGAATCACTGGGGCGGCGAGACCTGTTGCGTCAGGGCCGCGTCCGCCGCCTGGGCACCACTTGAACTGAGACTTAAAAGGAGCGCGGCTTCGCAGAGGAACGCACCCGTCCGCGTAGTCATCCGCCAGTAGGATTGGCGTATTCTCCAGAATATAGTTCCACTTAGGGATGGGTGGAGGCCGTGAGGAAGGATGGAGAGGCGGGAAAAGACAGCAAGGGTGAGATGATCGATAGAGCAGAGAACAGGGAGCAGAGAAACAGAGCAGGGAGCAGAGAGCAGAGAGAAAAGAGAAGAGAGAAGAAAGAGAGAGAGAAGAATGAGAGAAGAGAGAGAGAGAGAGAGAGAGAGAGAGAGAGAGAGAGAGAGAGAGAGAGAGAGAGAGAGAAAGAGAGAGAGAGAGGGACGCATGTAAGTGAATGTATGAGAGAGAAAACGCAGATAAAGACGGAAGACACAAGGATACCGAGACGAAGAATGAGCAAAAAATCCAAGTGGGTATGTGGAGAGATAACCAGATTATAGACGGGCTAGAGAGGCGTCTGTCTGGCACTGCCCAGCCCACTGTCCATTTTCTACTCGCGCGGAAACTATGCTGCGGATTGCCGAACTGCGGTGAAAGGCCCGTGATAAGCAGCTCCTCTCTTGGTACACCTTAAGGTACATTAGAGGTACACTTTGAGGTACACCAGAGGACGCACCAACCAACGGTCGGGTCCAGCTTTCGGACGTCAGGTTGTATGCAGGGCCATGCGAACCAAACGATGGCGCGGGCAATGTTTCTGGGGGGGGGGGGGGGGGCGTCGCCAGAGATAAGAGGAGGACCCGAACCTCTGTCGAAGCTGACGGCGGCACCAGTATCTCAGTGAGCGGGTTGGCAGGAAAGTAGTAGCCCCGCGAGCCGGGCACTCACCATCAGCGTCTGCCGCAGCGTCAGGTGCGCGAAGAAGATGTCCTCCTGCAGCACGTAGCAGACCTTGCGCTTCAGGTACTTGTTGAGCGGGTCGCCATTCAGCAGGATGTCCCCCGAGTCGGGCCGCAGCCGCCCAGACAGCACGTTTAGCAGCGTGGTCTTCCCCGATCCTGAGAGGAGAGGAGGGCGCCGTCATGTCTAGCTCCTGGCCGCGCTGTTCGCTGCCAGGGAGCGTAGTGCTGAGTCGTCCGGCAGGGGTCGGGTCATTTTTGACCAGCGGCTGCGGAAGGCGTCGGCCTCCTTGGACTGTCTCGTTTCCCGCAGAGGGTTCGGTGCTGCACTCGTAGATATAAACATCCTGCTACGAGTCGGCACTTACAGCCGCCTGGCTGACTGATCAGCCGTTGACGAGGTATGCTTTGTAGCTAGTGACCTCTGTTGACCCCTGGCACGCCGGAGGCGGCCGCCGAGGGCTATCACCGGGGGTGGCTGCTGGGGGCGTTCCATAGACGTCGGAGGTCACGGAGCCCACCACGAAAGGTCGGCGACACTTTGTGGAGATCACGCGATCGCGCTGAGAGCTACGGCTGGGGACTCTAAAGTGGGCTTTGTCAGGACTACCTGCGTGCTGTGCTGAGGGGGCCGAATACCTCGACTACCTCGGGCTATTCTGACGGTATGGCGCCGGTGCCAAAAGCGAGCCGTCTGTCTGTTCCAATGGAAAGGTGGGCGAGGACTGGACGGTCTGGAATCGGCGGGAGTCACGAGCAGCCTGTCTGTCCCAATGGAAAGGTGACCGAAGACTGGACGGTCTGGAATCGGCGGGAGCCACGAGCAGCCTGTTTGTCCTAATGGAAAGGTGGCCGAGGGCTGGACGGTCTGGAATCGGCGGGAGTCACGAGCAGCCTGCCTGTCCCAATGGAAAGGTGACAGAGGACTGGACGGTCTGGAATCGGCGGGAACTACGAGCCGCCTGCCTGTCCCAGTGGAGAGGTAGCTGAGGGCTGGGCAGTCTGGAATCGGCGCCAGACGCGAGCCGCCTGTCTTTCCCAGTGGAACGGTGGCTGAGTGCTGGGCAGTCAAAAGCTTATTAACGTACCACGTGACCAAGGAGATAGCCTTGTAACTCAAGGGACTTAACCGGTATTCTCGAAATGCCGATGCGGCTGTTGGATAGCACAAAAGCGCACTAGCTGCAGACGAGATCATGCAGCTGGATACAATGGAAGAACAAGCGTGGTGTCCATAGCACATAATACATTATGTAATTTATCTGTTACATCATGTCTTCACGCGCTGCTTGATGCCCATCCTTAAACTCGTTCCAAGCCGGCGTTTTTATTGTCTACTCTCGGATGCGCATGGTCGGCTGCACCACTGGACTAATGCTTTTGTCAATTCCCTAATCCGTTCTTCTCTCCATACGAGAACTTGTTGCGCAGTTTGGGTGCAGGTTAAAACTGTTGCGTTTCCACATTCATCAGATGAAGGTTAAAATTAGGGTGACCGCATCGCTATAACAAAAATTCTCGGTTAAGCAGCTTGCATGCGAGTAACTTGAAAATTTAGAGCATGATCTTTGACTCTTGCCAGGCTGGGCACCTTCAGAAACGTCTTCAGCATTATGAAAACATTTCAGGAACACCAAATATATGGTGCCGAAGGTTTAGGAAAATGCTTGTTCCATATTTCATGTATTAGGTATATGAAGAAGAATGCAGTGTAACATCGATGGATGACTAGTGTTGATTTATCTGCGGCGGTGATGTCAGTCACATCTCCCCATCAGACGCTCGAAGCGGCGGACGTTTGGTGAAGACTGCGCGCTTCAAAGGACTCGACTGTTTTCATTCACTGCATCTTCTATGATTCATTTAATTGCAAGATCTATTACAGCAATAGCCATAGCGCCATGTCAGCCATAACAAAGCTTGATGAAGTGCAGCAGGTGGTTTTTAAAGAAAAACTGTTGATCTTTCATGCTTTGGCTCGGGGTCAGATGCAGGGGAAAGGCCACTGCTCTACTGCCCACACTACCCACCCGCCGGACGCGGGTGGCGCGCAGCACACCGGCTATCGGTGATGGCAGTCTCATGCAGCTTACGTGAATTGTCTGCTATCGATTTGGGCTTGGCTCTACCACGCTTAGATATTTTTTTTAGATAGAAAAAGGTCTGCGGGGTCTGTCGACCGGCGAGGACGAGAAAAACCCTCGCCAGCCAAGGCTAAAGACTTTTGCTTCTTGTTGCTAAAAACCGACGACGGTGCAATTAATTGCTGCAACGATCAGCCGAAGCCGTGACTAGTCGGGCCGAGCCATGCCCTTCTTACCAGTTCCATTTAAGTCCCAGATGCCCGAATCGCAGCCTGACCTTGGTCACCACTCCCCTAATCCTGTTCCGAGTCCAGTGCCTAGATCACGAGCCTGTTCTGTTCTGGTTTTGTTTTTCCACAGGCGCGCAGCGGGCGCGACTCAGATCCGCCCGCAGCTCAGCCGGGCCACACCAGCAGCGCATCGGTCGGCCACGCGAGACCGCGCGCCCTGGTCACGGACAGGGAACATAGTGACAGGCTGTGCACGGCTGGACGTTCTGACGTCACTCACCGTCGGCCGCCGTGACGGCCGGCATCTCCTCGGCTGGCTGCACCAACGCCACTCACCGCTGGGCCCCATCACGGCCAGAATCTCCCCGGGTCGGACATGGCCGGATATGTCCGACAGGATCTGCTGCTTTCCGACAGATGTGCAGACGTTTTCGAATAGCAGTTCCAGCGGCCGCTGCTTGCCTACCGAGCTGAACTGCGACGGCAGGTTTCCCCTGCAAAAGACGCGGGAGAGCCGCAGGTTAGTCCGACTTAGGCGCCCTGGCCGGCTGCGCTAGTCCGACTTAGGCGCCCTGGCCGGCTGCGCTAGTCCGACTGAGGCGCTCTGGGCCGGCTGCGCTAGTCCGACTGGGGCGCTCTGGGCCGGCTGCGCTAGTCCGACTGGGGCGCCCTGGGCCGGCTGCGCTAGTCCGACTGGGGCGCCCTGGGCCGGCTGCGCTAGTCCGACTGGGGCGCTCTGGGCCGGCTGCGCTAGTCCGACTGGGGCGCCCTGGGCCGGGCGAGTCGAAACACGGAAAACGTAACGGCGACACTAACTGAAACGGTTAATTCGAGCACCATGTAAGTCAGCAGGCAACAAACTGAGCAAACAAGGTCGCTCGGCTGTGTGGCAGTACGTACTCGGCCTTGAAAGTGCCGACAGAGAAGGAACAACAGAGCGTTCGTGCGCGCCGGCCCGACGCGTCCCCGAGGCTCGACCCTGACGCGTGGCCGTCCCCGAGGGCCGGCGCAAGGGATGTCGAGGCCTCGTCGCCGGTGGCCAGGTGGGCCCCCGGCCCGGCACGGGCTTTGGCTGGCAGCCAGTCGCCTCGCCGGTGCTCCGTTTACGAAAACTTGCAGAGGTCGCTGACCTGTGACCCACTTCGGCGCCGCCGCTGCTGAGGCGCCAGAATCGGCCCAATCATGGGTTCAAACAAACACCTTCGGCTGCCCCACGGCTGGGACCAAATGCTGGGATCCAGACAAGCAGCTGATGAGATACTTTGTCTCCAAGGAGCCGCCGACAGGAACTGTCCCAGGAACTGAGGAGCTGCCGTGCTTGCAGGAAGATGCAACGCTGCATTAGTATCCAGGGAACTATAGCACTGTTGTGTATCCAGGGTGCTGCAGCGCTTTTATTGTTCGGGGAGCTGCTGCGCTACCATACATGCATGTCCTGGGAGCTGCACCTCCAGTAAGGTGCGAGGCTGGCAACCTACTTGCTCGGTGGTACGCCTGGTTATTGAGTATACTTCTACCTTGCTTTAGGTCAGCTCGCAAACCGGAGGAAAAAGATGCCGCTGCGTTCCTTTCCAGCGCCCCAGGACTAATGCACACATGCATGGTGAGGTAGTCATGAGTCATGACGTCATCATGACGATTACTCATCAAACAGCGTCGTAAATAACTTCGGAGCGTGGTCTCGCTTGCACCCCGACACACTCCAGCACAAATAGTAAATTATCCCCGCCGTGACGATTTGGGATCGCGCAGCAGCTCCGATGACGTGCTCGAGATAATGCACACACTGCACGATGCCGCCCCGCCGCTGGATTTTCAGTGCCGCGTCCACCGGCGCGGCGGCCAGCCCGTGAAGCACGCCGTCGAATCAGGACGCCGAGGTCAAGCGTCCGACGATTGGACAGCACCGGCGCACACGCCCGCCGCACGCGCTGCATTTCACGCGAGAAGGATGACACCCATGCGGGACCTCTGACCGTGGTAGGGGCAGCCGCGACCACGCACCTCTGTCCGCGTGCCATACCACCGCGCGCGCGCCGCCACCGTTTCCGGACGGTTTCCGCCAGCGTACTGAGCGCGGTCGTTTGAGGCGGCAGCCGCGCGTCCGCCTGACCCCCTCGGAACAGCTGTTCCGGGTCCGGTGACTGCCTCGGGCCGCCGGGGCAGCGGTGGCCGGTCAGCTGCCGCAGCTGGTCCGGGTCGGGTGACAGGACCAACGGCTGTTGAACGGTGGGCCCGCGGGTTGAGCGGCGCCGCCGTGTGATCGTTACCGAGCCGGTCGGCCGGCGCTGGCCCGTATCGACTCGGCAGACGCGGCTGCCGCTGTACGCGCTGGCGCCCCGGCTGTGTGTCCACACCGACCGGGCGGCGGCGCGGCTGGGGAGGAGCAGAGGACGGCCCCGCCGGCGGCAGGTCACGCCGGCCAGCGCCGCCGCCCGCTGGTCCGGCGTCAGGGCCGGACCCGCTGGTTGGTCCGGGGTGAGAGCTGGGGGGTTTCACCCAGCCTCGTGCCCAACACGTAAGGCCCACTTCGATCGCCCCACGGGCGCTGGCGCCCGGCAGAGCGCAGCATGTGCCCTCGAATCACGTACTGGTCGTGTCGCGCCAAGCCTGAGTCCCCGGGGACCATCCTGCACTCCAGGGGCGAGTCGAGATTGAATGGCTTTTAAACTTACAAACAACCACTCCAGCACAAAGGCCGAATGGAACTTAAGATGAGTTAGATGCGGCTCGGAAGTTCATCGTCACACTTAAACTTGTACTGGGAAGCAGCGCATCATGGAATAGCGTGTGCTCAACCAGCCCCAGGCAGCGTGAAATGGGAACGCGCTTGCGAGCGCGAATGGCAGATCATTACGAATTCGCGAACACATCGCATGTCCATTCAAGAACGCTTAAAGTGGACCTGACTGCAGTTGCATCGCACTCTCACATTCTAAGCCGGACACGTGACAGGGCATCTCACACTCTAAGCTGGACACGTGACGGGGGCATCGAGTCGACCCTCATCGGCGCAGGAGCAGGAGTTGTGGCGCAGGAGTTGCCGCCAACTGTAATGGGACGTCTCACCAGGGCCGAGCCTGGTTCAGGTCGAGTCCGCTGGCTATCGGTCCCAACCGCTCGCGTTCAGCAGCGCCTGGGGCCGGGAGGCGCCGTTTCCGTGGCGGACGGACCCTTCCGGTGTCGCTGGCGCCAACACAAACAGCCGCGGCGCTAATGAGCCGGCGCCAGCTCCGGTCACCGGCGTCCGTACGTCCGCCGTTCCTGCCGGGCGTGCGACTCCAGCACGGCCCGCCGGCGGGTCAGATCAGGTCAGGTCAGGTCCACTGCGGGCGACTGTGACCGAGCCAGGCAGTGACAGCTGTCGGCCGGGCTCCGCTCCATAGCGCCGCTGCCAGCGCGCAGGGGCGGCCTTGCGGCGGCTCTGTCAGGCTCAGTGCCTGGCAGGGACAGGTGCTGTGACGTGGACAGGTGCCTGCGCGGCTCGGCGCCGAGTTATCGGTCATCAGTGCTCCCACGCGCAGTCCGCAGCGAGATACTCGCGCTCTCGTACACGAGGAGAAATCGGACGACTGCGGTCGCCGCGGTCCGATACAGAGCTAGTGTGTGGTGAGTGGCTCATTCCAGGCAGCGGCTGGCTGGGCCCGCGATGCCGCCGCAACTGCGTGTGAACGGTACTGATCCTGGACGTCGAATGCTTTCCCCGCGCACTGATGGATGCGGCTAAGATGAACGCTCAATAAATGCTACGTAGCTGCAAGGACTGTCGCAACAACGGTGGCAGGTTCAGCTCACAGATGCGTTCAGTACGACTACGCACTAAATCCGCTTTCCTTCTAACAGATAAGCAAAGCTAAGGGTGCTCTCGCCGACCCATGATGGGCTTGACCAAGATGCATGTCAAAAGGTCGTGCACATGACGCATGAAAGCCCTCCGAAAGTGGTGGTATAAATACGACCATTCGTTTTCACTGACAAATTCGTCAGTGATGTGCGCAACCGATTTCTTCTGCCAATAAAGCAGCAAAAAAGATCAGGCATATTAGTGCGGGGGCCTAGCTGTTGCCTTCTGGTTCCGTGCCAATACAGCCGCACCAGGCGCTGTGTATCGCTGCCAAGGTATGTATGTTTGGCGGAAGCGGCGGCCGTTTACAAGTCGGCAGCCGGGCGCCCCCGGTCGACACCGTCACGCGACAGCAATGGGTCTGGATCCCCCGCGCGAGGAGATTGAAGGCAGAATGTTTCGATTTCGACGTCTCCTAACAATTTGACACGATCATAGGGCAGAAAAGATCGAGTTAGACAAGTCCTACTAAGGCCGATTTGAAGCGAAGTACACAATGCGCATAACAAATTGGCTATACGCGGAAAAGCAGCCGAGATGAAGCCGTCAGCCTGAGGACTCAACCGAGAGCCCCGGACAACGGTCTTGCTCGACCGGGTCGGGACCGGTGCGGTCCGGCTGGGCACCAGAGCTTCTGAGGTCCCCGCTCGGCGGCCCAGCGGGGCCTCGGAGCCGGAGAATCGTGAGCAGCGGGGCCGCGCCCTTCTCCGGCCCAGACAGCCACTGCGCTCGTGATGGAAAGCCAATTTCACCGATAAAATACTGTTAAGTGCCAAAGTCGGCGCGGATAGCTGCCGTAACCCAGATTTTACCGTCCTTCGGTGCCGCTCTCCGGCGGAGAAAGAGACCAACAGGCGGCTCAGGAATGGAATACGAAAATACTAAAAAGACACATGAGCCACGGATAAAGGGAGAGTGATGGGAAAACCAAGCGAGAGAAGGAGATAACCAGAATATCCGTAGACAAGTCCAGACTGATGAGCTGACGGACTGGTTCAAGCCTGGTTCGTCAGCAGACACGTCCCATCGGCTGGCGCTCCCATATCCCGACCGTTGCTGGGCTGCTGTCTGCTGCAGTCTGCTGCGACAGGCGACCGGCTAGCTACGTGATATCAGTGCGCGCTATGAGCACAGAGCACCACGTGCCAGTCCGACCCGGCCTCTCCGACCTCAGCGGCTCAGGTACAGACGTGACGGAGGGAGCCGCACCAGGGGTCACACCGCCCCGGCAAGAGCGGCCACCCACGGGGTCACGTCGCTCTCACCATACGTGGCGGTGGAGCTCACGCCAGGTCTCTGGGGGGTCGCCCGGTTTCACGTTCCGAAAGGGGCCTCAACTTAGGCAGCTCTAACAGTTGGGAGATGGCTCACGAAACCCCATCTGGTACGATATGAAGTCGGGTGCCAGTGTGATGATTTTCGATGCAACGTCACGAAGTCTCTATGTAACTGTCGATAAAAGGATTTGCTTGTTAGCAAATACCGCTGGCATCAATAACCGGGCTCTCCGCTATTTTGCCGAGCTGTACCTTAAGCTCGGTAAGAAATGAGGCAGAGTTTTGTTGGACTCTGCATGGAGACGGAATTCTATATCCGGATTCTATCACTATCTTTACGTCCAGGATGAATCGATTTTGTTCCATAAGCTTC